GTTTGTAAGCTGCATTAGGGCCACCTCCCTAGCTGCAAAGTGTGTGTGTGTGTGTGTGTGTGTGTGTGAGGACTGATGGATGTAATCTCACAACAGAGAGACACAATGCAAGTTCTGCCCATGTTGGACCTTGACCTGAAGCGTTGATTGTTGCTACTCCTTGATCTGACATTTACCTAGTGCATGCTGCCACTCCTGATCTCTGATTAACAGAAGTAAAAAGAGGACCCCGGTTTGATTGGATCCAGCACCTCCTTTGTCACAATCAAAAAGAGGCGATATGATTGATGATGATTAGCCTACAGGTGATTACACAGTACTGACACGGAGCAGAGGAGACAGACAGACAGACAGACAGACAGACAGAACACGTAACTTAGTTCCGTTTCCTGCTTTTTGTGGTTATAAACAGGACTTTCTTCCCTAATTTCATTTCCCCCCGTTGTAGCAGCCTTCCACAGGCAGAAGGGAAACAACAGGGAAGTGAAGGGAGAGAGAGAAACCGCTGTTTCTATGTGCCTCGCCTGACGATTATTGTGATTAATAAATATAAATAAACAATGCTTTGTGAGGACAGTTTAGTTTTAACAGCTAGCACCTCGCCATTGTCCAGTGTGCTCCATTCACTGTGGATTTTTTAATGAACCGCCTGAACAGCACCCACTCACCCTGTGATAATGGGTTGATAAAGAAATAATTAACTGTGAAATAAAGGCATTAAAAAAACTGCAAGCACTGCCCTTCTCAGCTTCTGTAGGAATAACCCTCCACACACACAGGAGGCCTGATTATCACTGAGTAAATTTTATATTTTACTTAATTACAGTCATGTTATTTGTAAGTTGAAACTGGTTGTTTTATTTAATAACTTGTATATTTATTTCTGTTGTTTGGCCTGGAAATAGTCACGTTTAGATTGTATCTGCCTTTTTTAATCCATTCAGCGCACCTTTACATTATATGAGGACATGACCTCTGTGTCCTCGCTGGAGCCAGTTTCACTGTAGCCAGTAACTGTCACAGTTGATAATGCTGATCAACAGACTGCTGATAGGGCCTGATGAACTCCAAGAGTACACCTCTGGCAGGGCTGGGGGTGGGGCGTCTCTTAAATCCAGGCTGTCTGTGTGGTAGTATTCCAACCCTCTTTGTAATGAAGGAATTTACAGTATCTTTTTTTCATGGCTTTTTGTTTGCCACTCTTCCCGAAGTCTCCTCGTCATTGTTGACGTTGAGACTGGTGTTTTGCGGGTACTATTTAATGAAGCTGCCAGTTGAGGACCTGTGAGGGGTCTGTTTCTCAAACTAGACCCTCTAATGTCCTCTTGTCGTCTTGCTCAGTTGTGCACCGGGGCTTCCCACTCCTCTTTCTGTTCTGGTTACAGCCAGTTTGCGCTGTTGTGTTCTGTGACTAGTACACTGCATTGTACAAGATCTTCAGTTTGTTGACAATTTTTCACATTGGAATAGCCTTCATTTCTCAGAGCAAGAACAGAACAGTGTTTGTTTCTGCCCGTTTTGAGCCTGTAATGGAATCCACAAGTGCTCTCAACTAACTCAACTATTCTAAAGAAGGCCAGTTTGATTACTTCTTTATTCAGCACAACAGTTTTTAGCTGTGCGTCCATGAGTGCAAAAGGGTTTTCTAATGATCAATTAGCCAAGGAATTTTCTAAGTGACCCCAAACTTTTGAATGGTATAGTGTACAGTCCCCTCCTAAAGTATTGGAACAGTAAGGCAAATCCCTTTGTTTTTGTTGTTCACTGAAGACATTTGGGTTTAAGATCAAAAGATGAGACAAAAGTTCAGAGTTTCAGCTCTCATTTCCTGGTATTCACATCCAGATGTGTTAAACAACTCAGGACATACCACCCTTTGTTTGAACCCACTCATTTTTCAAGTGAGCAAAACCATTGGAACATGTGACTGCCAGATGTTTCTTGTTGCCCAGGTGTTGCCTTTTAGGTTGATTGGCCGAACATTAAATAGCTCTGCATGACTAGTCCAAGTTTTCATCCTTGGTTCAAACCTATAAAGACTGCATTTCATGTTAAAGAGGATAAACCATGATTAATGATGAGACCAAGATTAATCTCTAGCAAAGTGATGGGAAGGCCAAAGTGTGGAGAAAGAAAGGAACTGCTTCTGATCCGAAGCGTACAAGCTCATCTGTGAAGCCTGGTGGAGGTCATGTCGTGGCTTGGGCGTGCATGGCTGCTTCTGGAACAGGCTCAGTAACATTTATTGATGATGGAACTGATGATGGTCGCAGCAGAATGAATTCAGAAGTGGACAGAAACATTTTGTCTGCCAGTTTACGGAGAAATGCATTGAAACTAATGGGGAGGAAGTTTATCATGCAGCAGGACAATGACCCAAAGCACACTGCCAACAAAACAAAGGACTTCATCAGGGGAAAAAGTGGAAGGTTTTAGACTGGCCAAATCAATCACCTGACCTGAACCCAACAGAGCATGCATTTCACCTCTTTAAGAGGAGACTGAAGGGAGAAACCCTCCGAAACAAAGAAGAAGTGAAAGAAGCTGCGGTAAAAGCCTGGAATAGCATCACAAATGAAGAATGCAACAGTTTGGTGATGTCGATGGTTTGCGGGCTTGAGGCAGTTATTGCAAGCAAGGGTTACGCCACCAAATATTAAATGTTATTTACTTTAAGATTATTTGTTTCTTTACTTTTGCTCACCTAAGACCTCATAACAATATGAAACTCAATACAGTTGAAATTTCAGATGACTCTCTGGGGTGATTGTGGCTCAGGGGATAGCGAGGGTGTGTCACTGATCACAGGGTTGGTTGCTTCCTTCCTGTGCACATGCTGAAACTTCAATTGCACTGAGTATTATATTGATATAAAAAGTGTATATATACACCCATCAGCCATAACACTATGACCCAATGGTCCAACCAGCGTGCGGCCATTATATCTATGGATCTTTATTTATGGCATACCAACCTTTAAAGTTGTTGTTCCTAAAACAGGAAGTAGATCTCCGTCCATCTTCCTCGCAGCACAGCACGGTGGAGGCAGTCCTGTGTGGTGCTTTAAGGGCCTGGTTTTGAAATACATCCAGCCTTTTTAGCTTATCATTAGTTACTCAGCCATACAACACAAACCTCAGTCAAATTATCTTAGTTATCGTTAGCATTCACTCTAACTAGACTTGCCTACATTTTGTATATGTGGACCAGATCATCCTAAAACTGTTCACACATTTCTCCTGTATATACTGCAGGTAATCTGCAGGGCATTACCCACAGTTAGTCAGTGGTGTATGAAGTATTCAGATCCTTTACTTAAGTAAAAGTACTAATATCTCACTGTAAAATATATAGAATAAATAATAAACAAGTTACAAATAAAAGTACTGCATTGAAAATGTTACTTAAGTAAAGGTATGTAAGTATAATCTGGAGTACTTAAAAGTAAAAGTACTCAAAGCAGAAATAAAAATGTCCCCTGTGACTGTTATATGTTACATCATTAGATTATTTTTGCTGATGCATTAATGTTTCTGAAAATAGTGAGAAATGTTGTTGCAGTTGCCCAGAGCCCAAAGTGACACCTTCACAATGCTTTTTTTCTCCAGTCTAAACCTCAACATGATTAAAAAGACATTCAAATTATCAAAAGGAAGAGCAACAAATCTTCACATTGGTGAAGCTGCAACCTTGAAATGTTTCTACATGGAAAATGACTTAAACGATCATAAAAATAGTTAAAAACTGAATTTCCGTGAGTCATCTAATGTACTAGCTGTACTTGTATAAACTGTTGAGTAGTCCAATTATAACAAAACATAATATTTTAAACCCTATTATGTTTTGTGTGTAAAAATATTACTTTGTAAAGTCACTTGTAACTGAAGCTCAGAGCCATGTAGTGAAGTAGAAAGTGGCATGAAAAGAAAATACTCAAGTAGTGTGCAAATACCTCTAATTTTATTTAATCAAGTACAGTACTTGAAGAAATATACTTAGTTTTATACTTAATATACTGTCCACCACTGCAGTTAGTGGATTAGAAGCATAAAATGGAAATACTCTAGTACTAAAGTACAAGTACCTCAGAATTATTGTGAAGTACAGTACAAATGCACTTAGTTACTTTTCACCATTGTATGTAACATACTGTTTGCATATATATGTAAATATATGCGACCCATTTAAATGCGTTGGACTGAACTATACATATACTGTATATTTACATACTACTGTATGTACATATATAGTACTAGGTATGTCCTCTTTATGGATCAAATGATCAGTCTGTTGTTATTCTGTATTTTTCAATAAATCGCACGTTCAGACCCAACCCAACAACATGTAAGTGTGTCTCTCAATACTGTCAGACTTCCTGTCTGTGGCTCTCAGGTCCGAGCCCATTGGTTCCTGCTGAAGATGTAAATCTTTAAAAAATACCTTACAAATATATAGCTTTAGGTTTTAATAATAACAATAGTAATTTCCTGCTCACTGTAGTTTTTATCAAACAAACAGGTGGAGTTGTGGTGCTGCATTTGTTGGTGACTATGTGGGACTGAGTCATAACAAACTACAGTGTGTTCATGGTGAAAAAGGAACATGTCACCTAGTGCGACATGCCACAGCGACTCACTGATGTGCTTTAATAGTTTCTGGACAACAACGGAGCTTTATGTCTCAGAGGAAGCAGAGATATCATCCTGTCATACAAACACAGTACTTGTTATGAAATGTCCCCAGATGTGTCCTTTAAGCGTGACAACACAACTGACCTGAAGATGATTCCTTTACTGTAAATTGCCTTTAATTTCTAAGCTCATTATGAATAACATTTAAAGACTCATCATTATGTATGCGGAAGTACTGCATGAAGTATTAAAACACAGTTTAAAGTGATGCTTGGTCTTGAATAATTAAAAGTACACAGTCCACAGATGCATACAGCATCTTGTGGTGATGGCTGGAGTCTTAAAATGGAAAACTAATGAAAGCGTTGATAATTGATCCTGTAAAACATTTAATGAACAACATAAAGAGAAAGAAAGATGGTTAATACAACCAATAAACATACACATTTTCTTTTTCCAAATCATTTTCCAGCAACAAGTAGCACGTTTCCCAAACTCAAACATCTTTGCCCTTCAACTCCATGAAAAATGATTTCAACACATAAACATCTGAAGAATTAAAGTACAAAATGATGTCATTAGATTGTCTATAGATCTTTTAGACCTGTCTCACAAAGGCAGTGTAACTGTAAATAGACATGGCGTTTTTCTTTTCTTAAAAATAGAAACCACCTCATGTCGGACTGCTTCTACAGCTGGAGTTACTGTTCATGATAATGGGCTGTTTCCATATTGGACCATTCTTTCTCAGGGCCACACACAGGCTCAGCTCAGGTTCTGGTTCTGGTTTGTCTGAGAGCTGTGGAGGCTGTTGATGATATTTACAGTTAGACTTCACCGTTTGTGATCAGGTAGGATATCTGCCCCCCTACTGTGCATCCCATAGCTAGTCTCCAGTTGGAAATTCCCAGCTTAAAAGATTGTAAGAACAACCTCCATGTGTTCCAGTGATGTAGCTCAGAAAAAACAGGGAAGAACACGGACAACGCTTTAGAGTTAAAATGCTCCTTCCCAACAAACCAACACGTACAAACGTATGTCTGGAGGATAGTCAACAGGGTGACAGAAGCACTGACAGGTTATCAGATTTCTGCATCGTACACCAGAGCTGGAGTGCTTGTTTTAACAAATAGAAGGTTGGAATTTCCGACATCTTTGGGAAGCAGCACTATTTGAGAACAGCAGTAGGACATCATTTTTCTCTTTTAGTCTTCTTTTGATAGTTCCTCTTTGCATGCATTCAGCTGGGGCCCATAGAAGCACCTTTATATAGTGTAACATAGCACCATTTTTTCATATAGTTTTCCTATTATACTGGGACCCAACCATTGGCATGCATACACTCTAAAATCTTTATTTTCTTGGTTACCATTTCTAAACGTAGCATCATTTCAAACATTACAAGGCAAGTAATGATTATTCATACAGTACTTTACATGTAGAAGATGAACTAATACAGTACACATTAAAGAAAGTGCTAGAGTACAAAACGTCCTTGTTTTTTAAGTCTTACGCTACAGGACTATAGGACACACCAATGTATTACATTACATTTATCTAAATATACACATTTTCACATTTTCATTATTCACTTCAGTTCATGTTTAAATGATTACCAAACATCTACGTCTCTACACTTCCCACTCCAAAACTCTGAGGGTGAACAGAAGGCAAAAACAAAACAGCGAACCAGAACGTCTTCTTCAGTATGCATACATTCACATCACTCTACCTGCACAACCACACATATACACGTACACTTTGACAAGATGAGTCCCGCCTCATTTACTTTGAATACTCACTGTTGTGAAATGGTCACGGCCATCCAGGATGTATAGCAACAATCCTATGAGAACTACTTTTCTGTTAGCTTTGACATGTCGATCATTTAAAACAAAGCACATTGATTAAAATAAGCACGAATCAGTCAAATTGTAAAGGTGCTTTAAGGCGTCAGGGTTGGAGACATTGGATCTTCCTTAACAGTCCAGATCTCCTATCATCAAGTCCAACGTCCTGTAGCCCTCCCCCTGTAGCTCTCTGTCCACTGAAAATGTGATTTTTTTCACAAGACTTAAAGGAGCGTACCAGCATGGTATTTATCGCTTCAAAGTGACAAGTCAAAGTCTGTCTTCTTGCTATCAAACAGCTACTGTTTGTACTTTCCTGAGTGACAAAGGAGAGCAGCTGTGGTCAGAAAATAGCTGAATACACTGCTTCTTGTGCTTTCGTACTCCTGCGAGGACGCGTGCATTTAGCATATATATATATATATATAAAGTTGAGCGTTAACTAGTTTAGTCTTAACCCCTAGCTAGCTGCTAACTGAATATCTAACAGTATTGAGATGACCAAGAGTCTTCCTACGCGTGTGGGCGAATGGTCATCTCAATACCGCGTGTATGTTTTGATAAAATTTCTTAAATTGAAGTTCTGTTGCACTTAAAATGTTTTGATCCGTTACCTCGACTGTGAAATGTGACAGAAGTCAGGCGAACCACAGCTGCTGTTCTCTGTCAGTGAGGAATCTACAGCCTTTTTACACCTTTTAGGTATACAGAGTGCGCTCTTTACATTACTGTAAACATCAGCAGTTCTCACACTGATTTAGTTTCCATTCGTGTCAGTATGCCATGCAAACAAACAGAAAGAACTATGCAATTTGGCACTAATTATAGGGGAAATGGAGAAAGTGCAAGCATTACTTAAACCACTTTATCTGGAGATAAAACTGAAATGTGGCTAATAATCTCTCACTGCACAGGAAAACTGAGCACAGACAACTAAGAAAGTACAAACAGTAGGTCAAATGTGAAGCGCGAAGTGGGTCTGTTACTGACAGATTTTATTTCGTTTCATGTAGTAAAGCGGTGGCTATCTTCTTGTAAGTGTTCAGCAGCCCAAACCTTCTGATTCACTGCGTGCAGTTCATTGCAAACAGCTCTTTGCTATTTTGTTCCACTTTTTTTTTTTCTATATGTAGGCAAGCTGGAAGTTACTGCATGGGAGTAACACTACTACGACATCACATTTAAGAGTTGTCTTATTGCTGTTGCTTAACGCAATCTTTTAAATGCAAGAAGTTAAATTGATCATTTCCCTTATTGTCCATGTTATCTCACTGTTTATCTTGTGGGTCTGACTGAGGGCTCAGCATTGAGCTACGCTGTCAAAACAACAGAGCTGGAGATCAATCTACAGTCTGATGGTCTGCTTAGAACAGCTCAGCAGTAATATGAAGGATACATGATTTGTTGGTAATGGGATACAAAAGCAATGCACCAGGATGCCTCTTTAAGGGGAATAAAAAGCATTACAAATATGAACATATTAAATACCCACTTTTTATTGTGCAAATAAGAGACTAACATTGTTATTAATACAGACAAAGCATTTAAACCATAAATTATGTATCTATTTATTTATTAAATTAGATTTGGGATTTAAGAGTTGTTATCATTTTAAATCAGGGTCACTACTTTTAGACAAATAGTTAAAATCTCACTCAGCTTTCTTAAGAATATTCTCTTGCTCTGCAGTACTATTTCCTATTCCTTACTATTTAATAAGAAGGGAACGTTCTATGAGGGTTCCACCACTGACATCCAGTACATCAGTTTGATTCTAAAGAAGATACAGTACGTAATCTGGAAAAGTGATGTTTTAGAGCCGAGATCGTTCTCCTTCTCATGCTGCACACACAAATTTTGGTCTCATGAAATGCTGTGAAATGAGCACAAAGCCATGGCATGAAACATCTGCTCCCACACCCCACACGCAATTTATTCAAATGTATCCAAATGTAACCAACGGGATCTAACGCCAAACTACGTTGTAGCATGTACGCTGGTCCAACTAAGTATTTTGTGTTGCTTTTAAACTTTTACATATTTCCCTGTTGCTTTTATGTTTTATGTAAAGCACTTTCAATTGCCTTGTTGTTAAATTGTGCTATACAAATAAACTTGCCTTGCCTAAGTTATGGTGCAATCTATGGTTTAAAATTCAGAAAGATACATCACATTACGTCTCAGATTGTTTGGCGTCATAACTATCTGTTCACCATTTAGCATTAGCAGCAACAGAAGCCTGGTTTACTGACAACAGGGCACCCCTGTCGGAGTACAAGGCATGCCCTGTTGAGCTAATAAACAGACTAACAATCACATTCACTGTAATCATCACATTGTTCATGTCCACAGAATAAAATCTGCATTTCAAATTTCGTGCTCATTTCACAAACTTCAGTGAGACTTCAGTGTGTCAGTACACCTGACATTGACTATTTAATATGCCGTTTGCGTTAATACACACAGGATGATCAGCTCCAGACCGTCGCTTCAACGAGAAGCTCAAAACCGGACACAGATCATGATGGGAGTCATGTGTCGAACTGCAGCTCATCAGATTCTGTAAGCACAAACCCATGATTGTCTCTTTACAGCAAAGGCATGGATAGAAATGGTCCCTCTCTGTCAGCTGATTACAAAGCAGCAGAACAAAAGTGCAGCTTTACTTTAAAGTGCTTTTTGGAGTGATATTTGGAATTCAAAAGACAGATGGCATTATACCGTCTAAGGCATCCATATTCCACTTTCAGGAGAATAAACGCCACGTCTTTGTCTTAATATCTTGGCTGAGGCACAATTTAATCTTTGAGAAAATTTGCCCCTGGAGCCAAAATCACTGGCCATCAATGCTGAATCAAATGAATTTAAGTAGTACATTTTACAATAATTATATATTCTAAAGCCACAGATTTTTTAAATAAATTGTGCTTTGAATTCTACTTCCTAGACTGCTTCATATAACTTTAGCCATTTATATGAAAATAAAACAACCACGTACGTTCACGCCCAACGCCACACAACAAACACGCCAAACCAAACTAGTCCTGTGCTTTTCGTGCACATAAAGGCATCACAACAACTGGCTGCCACGATCACAAATCTTTTAACACTGATTTTTCTCAACAGTTCTCCCTCCTAAACCCTTCACCTCCTGTCATTTCAGTACATCTCAACTCCATTAAACTTGGCTTTGACAGCTCTCAGCACATTGTAGAGTTACACTGAGACAAAGGGCCCGACTCAGACGCTTCTGATGTTCTTGTGTGGTTTGAAATGTGCATTTTTGAGTTGCGTCAGTGAGTGGACTAAAGATTATGGTGACGTGGGAAGCCTTTTGAACTCTTTCCCCTTGAACCTCAGTGCAGCAGCTTAGTATTATCCAGTAATGAGTGAATTGTGATGCGACAGCATGATGAAAGCTGGATTCCAATCTTTTTCTCTTTTAAAGTTTATTTGTAATCAGTTCAAGCCATAGAGACTAAACAAGTAATGTCATGTGAAACATCAGTGTTGTTTCTATGGTTATCTGCAGTTTAATACACCTTGCGTGGAACTGCATTTCTTATGTACCGCAGCTAGCCTATCAGAAAGACGGTTTTAAAGAACTGTGGTTTGAGATATTCACTCTCCACAGCAGCATGTCTGCAGGAGGGTGATGGTGCAGTATACCCGCATCAACAAGCATAAAAACATCACACCTCAGTGATAAAAGTCCAACCATATTGCACTTGAATGATCCTTTAGCATGGCAGGAAATATATTATATATATACTATTTCTTCATTTAACTCAACTGCAGAGAGAACTGAGCTTTTTTTTCGCAGCATGTTTTTCTATCTACTTCTTATTATTAGAATATCTTACCATATTGTAGTAGATGCGTGCCTGTCAAATCTGCTCCTTTTAATTTGCTGTTAATGCCAACTGAACTTATTGGTGACCTGTCTAGGGTGTACCCCGTCTTTCGCCCGATGTCAGCTGGGATTGGCTCCAGCCCCCCTGCGACCCTGTACGCAGGATAAGCAGTTGGCGATGGATGGATGGCAAACTGAACTCTTCCTCTGTGTGTACCTGTTCTACTCACTGTCACTTTCATTCACAATGTCAAACACCTGCAGGAGATATTTCAACAAAAGAACAGCGAAGAAGAGTATTTGTGCTCAGAGTGGCAGGTACAACATGACTCTATTATACTGATGGAGTGTACGCTCTGGAAAAGAATTAACCATGCCAGCCAGTGTAGTGCAGGTAATTCCATCCTCAGCTTGTTTGTGTTAACTTGTGACACCCTTGGCTATTATCTGAACACTGTATTTTAGTTGCTGTCAATTACCACATCTAAGCAAACTACGACAGCGTATTAGAGCCAGGAGAGAGGGATTGAAGTCATAAAAAAAAGCCTTGGATACTCTGAGATCAAAATGTTTACTTACTTACTAAAAACCCACAAATATACAAGAAGAAAAACTTCTCTGAGATTATAAGATTTGTGAGAAAAAAACTCAAATTCTCTGAAATCGTCACAAATTTCCAGAAGAAATTCAGAAAATACTATTTTTCAGATGTGCTTGTGTTATTAAAAGACTCTCTACTCTATTCAAAGCAGGTTATGCAGATGTAAATAACACTGAGCCATCACAAATAAGCTTATTTCGGTACTACTCTCACCAACCAATATGAGATACTTCCTTCCGTTTAAAGACCAAACTGGGGGAGAACTGCATTTCTGAATGATGTGACGCATGTTTTCAAGTGGCTTTGTTGAAGTCCCTCTACCAAACTGTCTGAAAACTCCACCTCTTCTCTGCCCTGACTCTTGTTTTGTTGATTTTCTTTTCGTAAATTTACCACTTTAATCTCAGAGAATATCTGAGTTTTTTCTCATAAATGTACAGCTTTTTTCTCGGAATATTACCCCCCTTCCCTGGCTCCATAATTTTATATCTGCAATTGCCCAAATACGCCGACTGCATGGCAAAGCAAATGTTTTTTCTTTTCACAATTTCTGTGACTAAATCAATCCCTTTTTAATTTAATCTTTCTCTGAATTACATGTTTTGATGTGTGTGGTGTTTGGTGGAATTCTTGTTTCTTTTTTACATGTGAAAAACTATGGTGCCCTCGACTTGTCACTTTGGGTGTCTGATCTTGCAGAGACCTTGAATCACCTTGTGCTGACTCCAAGCCTTTGAATCAGCACAAGGTGACGCAGCTTAACAGTTGTAGTCAAGTCAGAGTCTGAATCGGGCTCTTTGTCATTAGTGGGCAGCTCTTCTTTCATGCAGGTCACACACAGTATACACAGAGCTCAATGTACAGCAAACCGCCAGTCAAGCTCTAATGGAGAAGCAGCAGATTTAAAGACAACACACAAGACAGACGTAGACAACTTCATCACCTCCTCATTAGCAGATAGTAGGGAAAGGTAAAATACACAGTTCTGCAGAAACGAGCACATTGGTACAAAGATGATTTAAAGGCCTGTTTGAGCAGGATGAGCCCTTTCTATGCTAACACTCGTTTATCTACCCCTCTGTTCACCGGCATCAAGGTCACAGGTCTGCCTTCACCTATCTGTTTACGTCAACTGGAAAACGCCGTCCTACGTGGGGTATGAACAGCTTTATAGCACCACATATTTCAAAATGAAAACAACACTAAGGAGTAGGTTTTAGAGCCACTGGTCTAATGTATGACATGAGGAAAGATTTTGATTTCTCATTTCAGATCAGTGTGTCAAGGTCTAAGGGGCATGTAGTAAAACAATGTAAAATATCTTTCTCAATGTTTCCGTGTATCCAAAAGAAGCATCAGTAAACTGGCACTGGGAATGGCTACATCAGCGCTTAACGGAGCAATCTCTCAGGCGTCGCGAGATCATTTGCGGGACAGATAAGCAGGAAAAAATATATGTCTATGACACATTTCCACAGACATTTTTTGCTTTTCACTAAATATTTTGACACAAAAAAAAGGAATCTGAGCAGAAAATTCCTCTTGCCATTGTCACTAACCACAGGTCTCCTCCACAGCTGTTAAAAAGTGGCAAAGACTAGTGTGCAAACGGAAAAACAGGCCCACGTTCCTGCAAGTTTCAATGCAGAGCCAGTTTGGTACCTGCTGCATGTTGCAGTCGATCAGAGTGGATTTACTTCAATTTAGCACTCTGCACTGGCAGAGCTGCGACCAAGGCCATCTTTTTTACAGGTCTGTTCAATTCATTTGGATTGTGAGCACAACACTGTGAGCGCTGTGCCGCTAGTGTGCTCAGCAGAACACATGTAAAATACCTTTCCTTCAGTAAATGAAGTGTGTCAATCTGAGCTGTATTTGCAACATGCAATGTAACTCAGACACACACTTATCCTTAACGATCATGAGCTGTGCGCATGTCTCTGTCAGACAGCAGTCACCGTCTGCGTTCTCTCCTCTTTCTTGACGGGGTTTTTGGATGGTGAGAAGAGACATCTATATATATATATAAATAAAATCTATTCATACAGCGATCTACTCCGGCAGCAATCACCTCAAGCCCATTCCTTTTCAAGTGTTTGAGGCTTCAAAGCAAGTAACAAATGTTAGTATGTGGCTCAGCTCAGTGAAACACAAAGCTAAATGTGACCAACGCAGCCCTGTGTGTGCCTGTGTTGGAGAGAATTATAAAGGAGATGTATTGCACTGGCTGGTTAAATTGGTTTGACTCATTTTAGTTTTGCTAACCTTGTTAATCCATCGTAAGCTGCTTGGTGCTTTCCTACTGACAATAGCACTATGGCAGAACAGCGCATGTGGCTGTGCTGGTGTGCGTCCAGGAATAAGATCAAATACACGCAGCACGTCTGAGTGCTCATCAAGAACCAGGCCACCGCATGGCAGTCTGCGCTGGTGCTGCTTTGAGGCTGGACTCGTTTCTTCCCTCACCTCGGTGATGCCGACGCGGGAAGCAAATCAGCACATTGCTACATTTTACACACTGCACAGTTTTCTAGCTGCTCTGGCCGCGTTCACATATTTGATTTGACAACAGTACCGCACAGCAGGAAGAGTAGTGTGTCATTGAAGTGAATGAGGAAGCCTGCACCCGTTTTTGCCACGGCGTTATTGTTGGTGTGAAAGCCCACCCATCTTCTGTGTGTGTGTGTGTGTGTGTGTGTTAGTGTGTGTGTGTTGCAGTATAGTTATTATTATTTATGATGATCACACTGGCTCAGCACATCCTGGTTACTGTAGCTTGACTACCTTAGCTCTCTCTGCAGGGTGTTGTGCGTCAGTGACAGTAACTTCCTGCTCGGGGCTGAAGGCTGGCTGGGCCCCCCCCCCCAAACAAGCAACTTCCACTTGTGAGGTCTTTTATAGCTGCAATTTCAATGTTAATATTTTTGTTAAAATTTCACTAGTCATAAAATGTGGTTGGCAGCTTTTTGTTCACCACAATGCTTCGGGGGCAAAACAAGTGTTTCCCAGCCTGTGCTACATTCCTTATACCACTAGTGGCACCTTACAGTGTCACCTAGAATTAAAAAATGCTGTAATTGATCTCTTCATTTTAAATGTATTGTAAGTGGCTTTGGATAAATTACTCTGCTAAACAAATGTAATGAAAAAAATGGGGGGGGGGGGGGGGGGGGGGGGGTTGGTCTACGATTGCTGCTCAGGGCCCCAGATAGGCCCCGGATGGCCCTGGCCTAGTGGCTGAGCGCTGAGAAATAAAAGGATTGGAAATATAGCTGACTGTTTTTCAGGCATCGGCTTCTTGGCAGGTGGTCGTGAGGAGTTGAGCAGCCCTTGTTAGCGGGGACGCTGCATGGACACATACAGCACATGATGGAGAGGATGGGGGGGCTTTACTGACCACGGTCCCCACAACGCAAGGTCAGTCCTCCTGCTCCTCGCTGTCCTGCCGGGCGTCTGTCCTCTTCTCCTTGTGACACGAGAAAATCCGCCTCATCTCGTCCTCGTACCGGATGAAATTCTCTCCAAATCTCGCCCAGGCTTTTAAGGGGACGGTGATGGTGTTTCTGTACGGCTGTCGCACTTCGCTAATCTTTAAAAAGATACCGTAGCGGTTCGACCCGACGTCAAAGTAAAACCTCTTGTTGTCCACCCGAAAGGACGCAGCCTCTGGAAGCTCGGGGTTGTCGTCGTGAGTCCTGGAGCCGGCTCGGCCGCGGTCGTCGCTGTCTTCGTCGCCGTAGTCCTCAATGAGCTGCGACAGCGCGTCCCTGAACTCGATGAGCCCCTGAGCGGGCAGCACGATGGTCTGCTCGATGCCCTGGCCGTAGTAGCCCATGGTGCCGTGTCCTTTGCTGACAGTCTGCCGTATGCGGAGGAAGCGGCCTCTCTGGTTCTCCTTCAGGTCCAGAAAGTACTTTCTGTTGTCCCTCTCGATGAATTCGCTCTTGAGGACGCGGTGGGCATGATCGTCGCTCGCCGCGGAGCCGGTTGGAGACAGCCCCGCGTGCTGCTCCTGCGCTCTCCTGCGGGAGTCGTGCGCGCGGCCCTGTCCGTTGCTGCTGTGCTCCTCGAGCTGCGGAGGCGCCAGGCCCCCCCGCAGTCCGATCCGGGCATAGTAATCTATGAAGTCTCCCAGGCAGTAGCGTAGAGCGGGGGCCATCGACATGGACAGCGTCAGCTTGCTCTTCCTGATGTTATCGTGACGGCCTCTTCCGATCCACACCTCGGCTATCTTCAGGAAGCGCCCGCGCACACTCTGCTTCACGTCCAGGTAGAAGCGTTTCTTCTGGATGTCGACGCGTTTGGAGGCTAACTCCTGGATGTCACTGCCCTGCTGCTGGGATCCGGTCTGGACGTATTGCTGGGGATATGGAGGTCTCGGTAAAGAATCTGATGCAATCTTCCCCCTGCCTCTTTCCATCCCTCTGCAACATCCATCAGCCATCATGATTTATATTCCACCGTTAGACAGCACAGGACAAAGCGATGCCCCCATCCCACAGGGCGGCTGGCGGGCGGAGAGAGCAGCTTTATTCGTGCAGCTGGCTGGAGCTACAAACAAGTTAGCGAGGCGCCTCGAATGACCTAAAAATGGCAGCTAGTTTGGAGTCATCAGCTGATCGAGTTTCTGTGTCCCGAATAAAAGGTCAAGCTCGACTATTTAGCCATTTCCACTGCAAACTTCCATCACCTATTTGCCTTACAGCTACCCCTTTCACGGAGGGAGCCGGGTAAGCAGCCAACCTGAAATGGGAGGAGGCGTGCATTACTACATGAACCCGATGAACCCATCCACCCCCCCTCCCCGTCCTGAGAATACCTCAGTTAAAGAGACACGGGGACTGTGGAGGATGTAGTTCTCGCGCAGGATTCACTGAGCTCACATATCTGCATCTGTTTTATATAGTCTACGATCTGCAGCCGCATTCACACAGGACGGGCATCAGTCCTACACCAGCTCCCGAAGAGGAGATGCCAGAGCTCAGGGATGGTCCGGATGAAAATGCACCTCTGTTTGGATGATGTTGGTCTAAAATTTGAGACATAGTCTCATAATAATAAACCTAAATGTTACAGTGATGCAGCTATTAAGAGTTACTGCATCATAAATTATGTAGGCCTATACTATCACTGAATTCTTATTTAGACAGTCTGAAGCACAATAAGGCATCAACTCAGTAGTTCAAACATGTTTCATAATGATTTACAGCTTTCCCTCTTTGTGGGTAACTGCCCAGAAAGCTCCATATTCACTGCGATTAATTTCAAATTAGTGAGGACATGTACCTTTTAAAGCACATTTCTGCTGAAATAATACTGCTAAGGGGTTTGTGTTGTGTAGTGTAGTCCTAAAGGGATTTGTGTTTGAATCCAAAGCCCATTTTGACGATGCTCAGTGCAAAAACCATGTCTAGGCTGCTGAGCTTACGTTATTTTGTCACACATACAGTTAAAGGTCAACAATGAACTTACAGGTCAAAGGAAGTCCACTTGTTCGTTCTTATCGGCAGCCAGTCACCGGGCGTGTTGCAGAGAAATGACTGGAATAACATTAGCACAAGTCATGCCGTAAACTTTAATGTCATGGAGCATGCCCGGGTTTGGTTGAGCATTTGAGGGATGATGAACCTGGAGGTTTGTTGTATGTATGTTGAGGAGGGGCGTCTGAATAGTGAGATGAGACCATGTGATTTTGACAGGAGCAGGTTCAGCGTAGCCTTCAGGCCCTCCCCAAAGACACTTCCCAGAGATGCATCCTTTAAAAGTCATATTCTAAAAGACATGTCTGCTATCAACCTGAAACGTTTGATTTCATCAAAAGGTACACCTAAATAATGCAACTGTCCTATGTCACACAAAACACATCTCCGTGGGCTGAGTAGGGTGACAGGTTAACCACGAAAAAGAAAGACACCTCAGCCACCCTGTGAGATTGAGCCAGATGAGCTCCATCCACCTCGACCAAAACCATTCAGCACAGCCACCCAACCAGCAGCCTGATGAGGCCCGCACTGCTGAGAGGACGTATTCAGCCACAGAGAGGGAGACAGACACCTTAAGGAGAAACTAGGCAGAAGAAAAAAGCTAATTTTTTTAATGTTAAAAAATTAAAAGTTGGATTCATAAGCTATAGAACAGACCTCTGCCCAGTTGAGCAGACTCAAAGGTATGACTGGTGGCTAATGTTAGCCACACTCAAGATGGTTCATTTGGACAGATAATGCTGGATAATGGACATTAGAGACTCAGTGCACTGACATGTTGCACTATGTATTTACAGCGTACCTCCAGGACAGCTTTGGGTTCCATACAGACAGTGCGTCTTTACAGTCCCAGTAAGCCATGGCAGTGTGACAGTGGGCCAGCATGAACACCACCAGGACTCTGAAACGGAAGCAGCTAAATGGAATTGAGCCTTTACTCATTTAATTATTTACACCTGTGCTTTTCCTGCTGTCACATGTCAAAAGGTCTTTCGTGAAGATAACCTATTCCACTCGCTGGCAGGTCCTTAAAACAATGGAGTCAAGAATCTGGGGAAATAAAACATTCAATGTGACGTTATCCTGGAATGAGCACTTCAGCTAGCTCACTTTCATTTAGCCATGCTAACTCTTAGTGCTGCCTCAAATGTGCAACATAGGCATGATCTTTCACTGACACTTACGCATGAATTCCACATCTTTACAGAGGAAAATTAAATGTCTGAAGCACCATAATGCCAACTGACATCAACGCATCAGTTCCAACATTTATTATATATTTCATAGATTCATTTACAGCCTCCCCCTCTGTAGGCAGCTAATAAAATTCACCTCTGCTACAGTTCACACTGAAAATAGTCAGCATTTGTCCTTGTCTTTCCTGTAACATGACACTACTTTGTCCGCTGGATTTTGTGCGTCAAAACTTTACAGGCAAGCTGATTTTTTTGTGAACTGAACGCTTAAGCAAGTCTGACCCATATTGCGGTGATCACATTGTCAGACTGCTTCCCAGTAATTACTCAAAGCTGCATGTCGGAGAAATCAGAAATCTACCGCTTCTTCCCCATGTGTTCGCTGTGAAGCTCCGAGCTGATGTTAGCAGAAAGTGACATATTAGGTCTCCTCATCCTCAGTGCTGGGATCAGAGGGTTATCAGAGTGGCTGTTTCTGATGACATTCTGTGTTTGAACATTGCAAGTTGAGAAGGAGTGAAAAGGTTATACTTGCTCCGATAGACTGGAGTGACAGCTGCAAACACTGAAACCCATCTTAGTCGGCTGTAACAGAATGAACATTGAAGACCTTACACCACAAATAAATCACTAAATAATGCCACTTTCCATTTTTTCCCCCCATTTTCAAAAGGCAGGTAAAGTTTTTATTGAACATGCACTGGCAACATGTATATGTCAGTGTGAACGTGTGGGACTTGATTACATTCATTGCAGTGTATATACATAAGCCGATAACATACTATATGAACGTTAAATGCCAATGACCAGGTAACAAACCAACATCTCTGCAGAGCAGCGCGTCCTCCACAAGAGCGCGCTACAGCGTCAGACAGACTGCTCAAACGGAAACACAAAGTATCTTTCATCCTGAAAGCTGCCTGCTGTGGAGCCCTTCCCTCCTGAAACTGTGTCCCACACTCCTGTCATGTTTAGAATTTCAGGACACATTTTGAAATGCAACGTTAACTGTGTAGCTCAAAGCATCCACATTCATGTGTTGTGTATGTTTTGGGCATAATTTTACTATAAAGATATGGCTGTCATTTTTCCATGTGAGTGCAAAGCTAGCAAACTACAGCTACAAGCTCTAATTCACATTGTACTTTACAGGTCACTTTCCCAAAGCACCCAGTAACATTTATACTTGGTTAAGTGTAAAATACATACTGACACAGTCTTCACTGCTTCAATGAAATTAACATATGACACTAGCAAAGGCACTGAAGATGACACATCTAGATCTGTCTGTGTTCTCACTGTGGCCTGTAGCCACCCAGCTGAGGCATGTAGCTGGAGATTGGTGCTGCCGACAGCCGGTCAGCTGACTCTGCGTCTGTAGGTGTCGTCTGCTCGGAGTCCTCTTCCAGGGAACAAAAGTCCAGAGGCACCAGCGCCTCCTGCCGCTCCCTCCCCAGCTGGTTGAAGTCACCAAGGTCAGGGCCGTCCATTCCTGAAGTGCGTGTGAATCGCTGGGACTGTCTGCTGCCCTCCTGCACCAACATGTCTGGGTTCTCCTCAGAGTCCAGCAGGGGCTGCGTGGACTCGGACCGCGAAAAAAAGGCCTGCTGGGCTTGGGAGCTCGGGGTCTGACCTTTGTAACCATTAGAGGCCACCACCGAGGAGTACACAATGGTGTTGGCTGTGGTGTCATCCATGTCGCCGCCGTCATCGCTATCAGACACACTCTGGCGAGGCGAGGACATGCAGGAAGAGCCGCCGATGCCACTGCTGTGCTCCTCAGACAGATACTTGTCCTTCTTCAGAGGCAGACTGGCCTTGTCCTCCTCAAACACACACTTTCCATCACATGCCTCCACATCAAGTACGCTGATGCCGGACACACAGTGCTCCTTTGGCGTCTCTGCCTGTACAGAAAGACAAATTGAAGTCAAAATGAACATATGAAGCTGGACACTGCATACTCATCAGTGGATACTGGAACCGTGTTTACAGGTTCAATTTTTTGGACAGGTGGTCTCACAGCGGCATGTGCAGGTAGAAAGAGTGGCCATGATGTGGACAAAGCTGGAGCAAGTTCAAAATACTGAGCTGAGCGGGATGTCACCCAGCAGCTGTCTCACTTAATGATATCATGAACCTCAGCCAGTTCGGAAAGAAACTAATATTTACCTCCAGCTGCTGGCAGGAATCTGAGGGCCATGTGTCCACTACGCAGCAATAGCATCAGTGCCCATAAAAATCAACAAATCCAAACTTTAACTTTACTTTTGATTATTCCTTAATTTAATTCATGAAGGCAACAGGAGCTGCGCTCTATTATTTAGGATGAGTACATGAAACATTCTCAACCAGCAATGAAACATTAAAACATCAGCACTAGTTCACTTTCGCGCTGCATGGTACTGAAAAATGATTCTGTAGAGGATAATTCGATAAGCTGAAAAAAATACTTTTAGACTGAAGACTTTTTTTTTTTAATCCTTTCTTGAGCTTTAATGCAGTAAACACATTTTAAATAAAATGATAAAAATAAAAGATCAGCCATACACCAGCCCCTAAGGGGTTCACAAAACCAACCAAATCCACTCAGTGGTTTTCTCCTGTTCCTCACTCATTGTTTTACTTTGAGATAATCTGACTTTCTTGACGTTGCACATCCTGTGATCTGACCATTCGCATGGGCACATAGCGATGACCATGCTGAAACGATATGTTGTGCATCCCTAGTTCACTTAGTTTAACATTCTGGCCCTGAATAATTGCCTAGAGTATTTCTAGAGTCTATGCTCATTTAAAAGATTGGGTTGGACAAATAAGTCGTAACAAGGTAGCGGTGTGTCTGAGTGTGACGGGGGTTGTAAGATCTTTATACGAGTCTGCAGGAGTCGACGGGGTCTAATAGTATATTGACATACAGTATATTAAATAGTGTGCATTTTGCCACCCTTAAGTGTGTGTGTGTGCAAAAGAAGTTCTTACTTTTAAAGGATAATCAGGAGACCAGTTTCCAATGGTGCTCTCTCCGGGGTTTGGAATCTGAGGCCAAAAGTTCTCCTTGATCCTGTATGAGAAGAAACCCAGAGGGTTATATGTCCACTTAGAAAGTGTCTTCATTCACAATCTATCTGAGCAGTGGGGTTTATGTAAATGCTCCGTATTTGTATAGTGCCTTTTACACTACATCTGCATTCACCAGTCACACACATTCATACACTGAACCTAAGTGCTCAAACAGAAACTAACATTCATACACTGGGCAATTTGGGGTTCTGCATTTTGCCCACGTGACATGCAGGCCAGGGAGTCAGGGACTGAACCGCCGACCTTCCGATTAACGGCCAACTCGCTCTATCTCCTGAGCCACAGCCGCCCCTTTACACTTTTTCTAGCTCAACTTTTCACCTCTGTCTATAGTTACACTGCCACTGTCCGGTGGGCTTAAGGCCAGTGAAGTGTTATGAATGTTATAGTCATAGAGTCATAGAGAGAGATGAGATGCAGTGAACTGCACAAATAGAGACACTACGTCTCTCAGAGAGACATGCTCTGAGAGCAACAACATGTTTAGGTGTTTGAAGTGTGACTTACACATCTTTTTTGTAGATGCAGATCAGCATGGTCATAAGAACGACGAACAGAAAGCCCAGGCTCACTCCTACCACGATGGCCTCGATCTCTCCTGGTGCTGAAGGAAACACAGAGGATGTTTACAGAAGGTTACCAACAATTCAACCAGCCAGAGCGAAAATATGAACTTCAATCACAGCTGTTTAGTTGCCATATTGCATAGAAATAAATAGACTCAATCAACGTGAGTTTTCCCATAGATCAATGAAAGCAGTCACCTGGATGTTTTACATCAGTGCTTTATTTCTTAAAGGAACAGTAAGTAACATATTAAAGTGTATGGTCACTTTTTTTTGTCCTTTGGTACATTGTTTTTCTGGAGATGCTAGAGCACCAATCTGAACAAAATCTGAACTTGATCCTGTTTGAGGTAAGGAGTGGTTCATGGTACAGTGTGAGAGCTGAGACTCTCCACCTGTCGAATTCATTCTCACAGCTAACTCTGTGAATTAAGGGTTTCTTCCCACAAAACCAGAGCTAGTGATTGTTGGAACAGTTTGGGCAGTTTTATTTGTTTTTTGTCCAGTTTGAATGAAGTGTGTTTTATGTTGAGTTAACAAGTCAATTAGTTCAGTTTTTTATGTTTGAAAATAGGTCTCAGAATATTTCCTTTCTTGACATTTTGTGACTTTACTTTGTTTATTTATTAGACTAAGAAAGCTAAAAGAGCTTGCGTAACATAGCAAACTCACCGCTTGCACACATCTTTCAGCGGAAACTACGGGGGTTGGGCCTGAGCTATCGGACGAAGGCATAAGACAGTAACACCAGAACTATTACTTCTTCACATTCAGTTCATCGCTAGAACTGAAGACGCCTCTTGGATGAGAGGTGAAACATCGTCAAGTATCAAGTCCAGTTGCCCTTGAGTTAACCATTTTTGGACAGCTATGACCTTCACAGACATGTTATTAATGTTAGTTCATTTTTTTTGAATGTTCTAAACTAAAATTTTGGCCATTTCCTACACATTGTGCCACTGAAGCAAACATACAGAAGAAAATTTAGTGGAGTCTTTACAGAGACAACAGATGTAAATGAACCCATTCACAGTTCACATGCAGCTGAGTAAAATCAGTTTTATGGAAAGGAACAGATCACAAAACAAACTGCTCCTCAAACTCTCAACACCACAGGTTGTCGAGATGGAATATTATTAAAATTTTTAAAAACTAAACCTATCGTATAACCTCATCACTTTGACACATCCTGTTTATGCAAATGCAAATGCTGGATGGTTCTTGTGCTTTCGGATTTACTAATCGAGCTGCATTAGCTGAGGGATTCCCCAGAAGGTAAAAGTAAACATTACCGCAGCTGAGCGGATGCTGTAACATTATATGGATCGGATACGCTCAACACTTGCAGTTTGTGTGCATCTCTTTCTTTTTCTTAAGTTAGAAGGTGATCCAAATAAAATTTGACTGCTTTTGCGGCGTCTCTACGGGGGAGTTGCGGTGTTCTCTTGTTTCGCCCTCCAGGTCACCAAGCATGTCACATGACTGAAAACTATGAATAAGCAGTATCAGTACACTAGATGTCGGAGCCCAAACGGAACTGTGTTGTGTTGTTTCTATGGAAAAGTAGAAATGAACTCATTTTTTAAACAGCTTGGACAGTTCATCACATACATGTGGAAAGGAGTCACTCACCATATTTCGCAGTGGTGAATGTGTGATTGGAGCTTTTGGCTGAGCCTCGGATGGTTGAAGCACTGATCCAAGTGTCGTACTTGGTGTCCCCTGACAGTAACCTCAGAGTGTATGAGGTGGTGTTAGCTGGCACTGTTACATCTGCAAATGAGCAAAACAGAAATTAGGAAAACCATTCCTGCAGTCCACCACTACATACAAAGCCAGGACACCATGCAACAGGTACATACCATGTACTTTAGTCCCATCTGTGTAGTATATGGTGTAGTGGGTGATGAAGCCCTGTCGCCTGCTTTGGGGAATCTCCTCCCACACCAGCTCTGCCTCGTTACGTCCTGGTGTACCGCTCAGTCTAAAAGTGGGGCCCTCCAACGGAACTGCAACCACAACAGCAACATCATGTGTGCTGAGCATACAGCTGCGTACACTTTTACAGATGATTTGTAATAACCTCATTGGTGGTACTTGGTGAAATGAATTATTGAAAATTGATATTGTCATATAATCATTGTGTGTCTACAGTAAAACCAGCCTCTGTTCTGTTAGCAAATAGCTTTGGATCCATTCACCAACTAAAAATACCAAACATCAGCTGCCACCTGTTCAGTCTGTAGCGGGCCACTGAAATGATCACTTTTTCAGTGGCACATTATAATATATTTAATTAATGAATTAATTTAAAAACAAATTGATTAGATTTACATTCAATTGTGCTATTGCAAAATTATTACTAAAATTAAAATAAGGCAGGGCACACCTATCACCCATGAGATTCACAGGCAAGAAGAGGCTGCTAGATGTGTTAGAGCAGACAGCAGCAGTGACTATTAGAAACATAATAGGAGCTGTTTCTGATGTGCATCCCTATCCCCAAACTCAGCTCATTCTGTAACCAAGAATTCAGCTAAGAAGTAAATCACAAATGTATAGTCAGCAAGTGTAATAGTAGCTAGCTAGTCTCAAGGGCAATACACCTGGGAAGCTAACCAAGTGTATAGCAGCAGCCAATGAGAGCCATTGAGTGCTCAGATATATAAAAGTGTTTTCTTTTGTTGGTAAATCAGTTTTGTTAACTGAACTGGGTATAAGAGGCCCGAGCCTAAAGCAGGCAGTGAAAAACACAATCTGACAAGAAATGCTTCCTGACAATGCTTGATATGATGGTTGGCCAATCACAGCCCCTGTGGCTGTTCGGTGGGCAGGACCTCCTTTCACTTTAAGTGTGGCACACTGGTCATATCATGTCTGCATTTACTGTGCCATAATTAAATGAAAAACCAACACTATGAAACAAAAAACTATGAAATGCTCCACCCCACACTGTGATTGGACAGGTGATAAGCTCCCCTACATCTCTTCATGAAAAACTAATGACTAGTGTTTTGTATTTGTGTGTTTCACTTGATTTTTTTAGTTTTGATTTGGGAATATTACATCTACCACAGATTCAAAAATGTGAAAAGAAGCTGATTTTCTGTCAGATATTTCCCTGTAAATGGAATATCTCATCAGATGTTATGTTTCCTTGCATCAGAAACTCTGGCTTACAGGCCAGAGGAGGAGGAATAAATGTCTGTATCTGTATATAGTATTCATATAATCTAATCCTGACCCGCTTTTAATAGCCACGATAAATACAATAGTTCATGTCTTAGGAGTCGCCCATGTGTATGCAAATATACATTTCTTACCTCCTTCCTCCAGAAAGGCTTCTTTAGTCTCCGACTTCCCAGTCAACCCAGAGTATATTGGATACACAGAGACTTTGTAGCAAACAAACTTCTCCAGGTTGCCTAAATTTGATATCGACATCAATAGTTAAGTATCATGTTACTTTTGTGTATTTAGAGTGAAGTACAGTATCAGTAATGTGATGCCTCCTCTAGCTTTTGAGTATTACACACCCTGCAGGCTTGAAGGTGGCCGTTAAAAGTTTGTAGTTTGCTGCTTCGTGGAGAGCAGCTGGTTTTCACAAAGGACAGAAGATCTAGGGCTGCCCCTTCAGCAGTGAAATGTTTTTTTTTTTTTTTTTTAATTATATATATATATATATATATATATATATATATATATATATATATATATATATATATATATATATATATATATATATATATATATATATATATATATATATATATATATATATATATATATATATATATATATATATATATATATATATATATATATATATATATATATATATATATATATATATATATATATATATATATATATATATATATATAATAAAAAAAATATATATCACTGGCACATTTTCTCTTTATTACTAGAAATCAAATCAATGTGTCTTAACAAGAAACCTGAAAAATGTAGACTGAAGTTTTATATCTACTGCAGTTTCACGAGTTTTGTGTTGCTGCTGTACCAGTCCTCTTGACTGCGTAGCTTCATGAGGGATCTCAGCATGTGGCAGGGAGTAACATTTGAGTTCTGTCATTTTTTGACTTCCTTTTGCAAGTTTTCTTATCTGTGCCATTGTTAACTCATTTCTTACTTTGTCTTCTGTTTTTATTTGTTACATTCATTTTAACTTGTTTGTTTGGAAGACTTGTAACAACATAAAACTGGTAGAACAAGAAGCCCATTAAGGAAGTATGAGCACAAGCAGATTGTTCACCCATACTGTATTTTGGTGAGTTTTTGATGGATCGTGATCAGCAAGTTTCTGTGAATGACACTTTAAAACTACAATTTGTTGTAACTCTGTATATCCAAGCTGAACGCAGTCTGCTCTCCATGATGGATCAAACTACACAACAACATTTTCCAGCCACTTAGAAGAAAAGAGATTACCTTTAATGGCAGTTTGTCTGGTGGTTCTGTTTTCCCTCTGCCAGTCTATCTGATCACCAGTGGCCCACTCCACCACATACTCTGACACAGCTTCACTCCTGGGGGGTTTCCATTCTAGCCACAGCTGGCCCCCACGGGACCAAACCTTCAGATCTTTCACTGGGGCGAGCTCTGTAACACACACACACACACACAAAAATACGCTTTACATTACTGATGTAAATGCTGCCTGAAGTGTTCTCATTGTTTTTCTCTTTTTCTTCAACCAGTCACAGCTCACCTGTCTTAACTTGAGAGGTGATTTACTGAGGACTGAAAAATGTTCCGCATGATGTCTCTGTGATGGGTTAAAACTTACTGAACTTGTAACTTGGAAATTAGTACTGCCAAAGACATGGGGGAATTCTAAAACAATGCAATGGCTGTGCAAGGTGCACATCATTTGAGGTAAACAGACCACAACATGAACACTGGTATGAGCTTTTAAAAGGTCTTTCTCACAGCAGAATATTTGATCTTTCTTCATACAGAATCCACCAACTTCAAAGTCCTCTCAACAATAAAAAGCAGTATGTTCAGTTTGTTGATGTCAGCTGGGCTCTGGTGATTTGCATTTTTGTCTGCACATCACTGTTGGCAGCCTTCTCCAAGTTAGCAGTGACAAAGACTGCAGTGCAAAAGGAAGTGAGCATTCAGAACACAACTGCCCCGCAATAAGACACGACGCAGCGGCAGACTACAGTCCAGCCTGCTGCTGAGAGCTTGTGGTAGGCTTTGTGAATCCGCTCATTAAGTCAAAAAACAGCAGTATCACACTGTATTACACCTGAAATTTGGATGTGCATGTCAACTGAACTACATAGTGGGGGGGGGTGTCATTACCCAACTCCCCCTGTCTCCTCTCTCTACTGTTCACCTCATAATAAAAGGCATAACATACTACATGAGACTACACAGTTTGAAAGATGAATACATTTAACAGTTAACATGATTTCTCATCTTTAACATAATTTATATTCTCCTTTTCTTCTGACAACTCCACAGAATGAGGCGTGCCATCACTACATGACATCCTTACAGTATCTGGCGGAGTCAGCAATGACGGGCTTTAGCGCTAGATAGGACACATGACCTCCCCGCTGCTGTGTGAGTCTACATTGAAAATAATAAGTGCAGCAGTTTAGATTATACATTGCAGGTGTGCCCTTCGGAGTGTGGTGCGCTGCTCAGAGTCATGATCACCTACCGTGTCCTTTCTGAGGGATGATTAACGATGCGGCAGGAGATTCCCCTAAAGAATTGACGGCGATGACGGACACTTTGACAGATTCCTTGTCAGCCAGATCAGCCTGTTTAAGGGAAGTGATCTTCCGCTGGCTAGAGCTGCTGTCGTCCTCGGACCTGTTGACGAGGACACTCTCCCAACTTCCGTTCTTGACTTTATCCTTTTGGTCTTCAATCTTTATGTCGAATCTTATTATCCTCCCGTTGGCAGACACAGGATCCTGGTAGGACACAGCCACACACAGATGTTACCTTTTAGCAGTAACTCAAGAAGTATAACCTGAAAAATATTGATTTGTAGACGGGCGTGCGCCTGACGTTATTGTGTTGTCATATTCAGTGAGGAGACTTATATTTGAATGAATGAGAGAAATTACTGAACAGATTAATTCTGTTGGCGCTATAATAATAATATGGTATTACTGCCAGCAGCACCAACTTCAAGCGTAATTGCTCGAGACTAGTTCGAATTGACCAAATTAACTCCTCGTCTTGCGAAAATTTTATCATCCCAACAGAAAATCAGAATTATAATGTATGTCTGTCTCTATATTTTAGCTGTCCTGTAACTTTTGGTATATGTATGCTAAATAGATGGTTAGATGGTAACTTTATTAATGCCCTAACAGTTGTATGGCTGTATGGTTATATGTTATATGTTTTATGTTGTTATGTTTTAATGGAGCCAGTGCTATGGCATTATGTTTTATTGTTGTATATCAATTGCTGTGTGATTTAATGTGTTTGTTTTTTTTTGTTTCTTTTAAGCTATTATGTGCCTAGTATAACATCTTGCCAATGGACTACAGTTGAAGTTTTAATTTGGCTTATTTTGAGTTAAATAAATATATTTTGTTAAACATTTGCCATGGTGTGTCTCAATTTGGTTGTGAACCAGGTCATAACACCCCTAGTCATCACTATGGGGTTTCCTGGTATCTGCAGTGTTACTGTTAAGAGACAGGTGGTTGCTGGATGTAATGGTGGTTCCACTTTTGATGGCTTGTTTCCTCCTGCTTCTAGTCTAAAATCGGATCCTCACGGTACTCACGGTTCATACACGTTTCTTTTCTATGACTTTAAACCAATTTTCATGACAGAACATACTGTGATTTCTGTGTATACAGAAAATTTACCAGTATACTAAAATGAACCAATAATTCCCAACTACATAGCTGTATACCACAGTTGTTGGTTTTGGGCTTTATTAATCTGATCCGGTCGGAGTTACATGTAAATGTAAATGCTCTGTATAGCGCCTTTCTAGTCTTTTACGACCACTCAAAGCGCTGTTCCACTACATCACATTCACGGATTCACACACACTGAATCTAAGTGCTCAAACAGAAACTAACATTCACACACATCAGTTCAGTATCTTGCCCAAAGACTGATTGAACCGCCGATCTTCCGATTAGCGGTCAACCCGCTCTACCTCGTGAGCCACAGCCGCCCAGTTAAGTCTCATTCAGCATAATTTGATTGTGATCTTACTAAAGGCAGTTCACAGCACTGTACAGATAGAGGCCAAAATTAGGAGTATAGCTTTTAAAGACAAGCAGTTTCTATTGTACACACTTCCCAAGCAAGAAGGATTTATTTACCTCACACGTTTTTGTTTTTGGTTATGTTTTCCAGTGCAAATCGTAATATTAGAATTATTATTCTTATTTTTTGTCTTAAATTAAATGTGATGTAGAAATTTACCTTACAAATGAACACCACTTGTCGTTTATTCACGCCGTCCCCCTCAGCACTGATTTTCCATAAATCCGGCTTGCTTTTTGGTCCTGGGTCAAAAAAACCAAAACAAAATCTTTTAGTTAACCAAAAAAACAAAAAGGAAACTCATCACATCACATCACATCTTAGAGAGCTACAACTCAACATTAAAGTGGGCAGATTCACAGGTTCAGAAGTCTTTTCACCACTAGAAATTTGCATTTTAAATAATTTTGTCATCGTACTGGGGAGTGATCAATGAGGCAGGCAGTCAAGTCAAATATAGGGCTGCACGATTAATCTAATCGCAATAGCAATCGCGATGTCGTCATGTGCGATTATATAACCGCAAAAAGTGTGTGAATTAATAAAACAGAGAAAGTGTGTGTGACGCTCTCTTCTGCAGTCTGCTCATTATCTCCACCCAGACCGGGCTCTCGCATGTGCCCCTAATAACAGATGAGCCTACGCGCAATGAGAAAAATGTTTTTATGAGCAGTGTGCCAGTAACTAAGACAACAACCTGCTATAACCCCCCCTCCCTGCCGCGCCGCTAAGTTCAAAACATAGTCGGACTCGCCGCCGGTGCTCCGGACGCTCTGTGACAGAGAGACATCGTCAGCAGCTGAAGCGGTCAGACAGAACAGGGAGAAGATAAGGAAGGTTTGGGTTTGTGTTTATCTCTGCTTTTTTGTAGTTCAACTTTTTACAGAGCCGACGTGCTTGTCAGTCACTTTTCGTCAACCGACCAATCACAGCCTGGATGGGGCGGGACGGTAAAAAAAGTACAATACAATTTGATTATTGAGAAGTTAGTACTTAGCATTAACAAACTAGAGACCAATGTAGAGCCTTTTAATGAATAAAAACAACCCACAGAAATGAAACAGCTGTAACTGGATATAATATTAAACTACTGGTAAAAAAAAAAGGTTTATTATTATTATTATATGAAATTCTAATGAATGCAGTATTTAATATATTATTGTTATACTAACAGCAGTGTTTGATACGTTCATTAATTTGTGGTGGCCCGCCACAATATAAACACTGACCGCCACATAATGATTTTTGATTTTTTTTTACTAAGCCAATTTAAAATTGTGTTTGATTGCAGAGAGCTCGTCCCTCCGTCTCTCTTGCTCTCACTCCCTCATGAACACAGCTGCTGAAATCTGTCCAACACAACACTGTCAATGTCGGAGACAAAGTTATTAGCAAGCATGTAAGGAGCCTAGCTAATAAGGAGAGCTAAGTTAAAGTTCGAATACAGCTGGGTTTTCGAGGCTAACATGATGCTAGTCAATACCGACTGTGCACGCAAACATTGTTTAACTTAAATTGAGAAATACACATTTCAAAATGTCACTATATTGTGCATTTTCCTAGATACTTAAGCAAGTAGACTCATAATACCATTTGTTCCATTATAACTGAATTGCAATATGACTTTTTCTCCAAATCGTGCAGCCCTAGACCAAATGTGAATTCTTTCAACAGTGCACATTTTCTTTAGATGCTGGCAGCTTAATTTGATGTCAGTGCTTTATGTACCAAGTAAAAGGAAGGTCTCAAGGACTTAGGACTCGTATTGCATCAACCAGGTATAACAGATCAATCAAAAAGTCAATTAATCCGAAATCCTTCAAATAGCTTTCAACACCATGTTGTATTTGGTGGTCAAATACTGTTACTTTGTGGAAATAGGCTGAACTGGTGGCCATAACACTCACGGTCTGCTGGTGTTCTCTTTGTAGTGTTGGTACTCCACTCGCTCCAGTAATCGAGAGGGCCTCTCACGTTTTTGCAGCACACCTGAATGACATAAACTGTGTATGGCTCAAGGTTCTGTAGCCTGAACGACTGTATGTCCTTGGCAATGTCCACATGAGGTACCTAAAAGACATTAAACACATCTTTTATTGATTTTGTTAATAATGATTTAAAAAGACAAACAGCAGACTTGAAATACAGCAGAGGAAGAACTGGTCTACCTAGCAATGATAGTGGCTCTGTGAGGTGAGGGGGCACAAGGTCACTCAGTTAATCTTCTGTTGACGTACAACATTTAACCTCAATCTGTCCAGTAGTTGTCAAGATATTTCAGTTTGGACCAATGAGCGGGAGACCAATCAGAACAAAATTAAAATCCCAAAAATTATTGGTCAATATTCACGAAGCCTGCAGAGGGTCTTGTGAGCCGCTGTAACGAGTTCTCTTTATACACCCAGTGCTGTGAGCCTGCACCGCCTCATCCTCCTGCCGGTTTGCTCGACGGCATAACAGCTTTAACTCGTCTTTGAAAAACAGATATTTGGGACTGAATGTGATGAATTTACTGTTTATCAGATGACAAATTAGACGAGAATTAGGTTGGGAAAATGCCCCCAGAGTTGTGCGAGTGTTTCCGCAGCTACCGTCTGCAGCTGTTAGCGGTTACCACAGCAACAAGTAAAGACATCTGCCAGGCAGAGCGGTGGAATACTGAGACAGATTGAGCGGGTGGATGGTACAAAATACCCAAGTACTGACGTATATATACACACACTGTGAAAAATGACTGAGTGGTTTAATTAGACAGAAACATACTTACATAAGTCCAATTTTGAGATCCATTTCGGCAGTATCGTATTTGATATGTTAATCTCACATATACTTTATCGATAGGAGGAGTCCATTTTATGAGAAGGGAGGTGGGAAAAGTCTCCTCTGGGATATGGACGTCTGACGGAGGGTTTGTTTTCACTGCAACAACACAACAAGGTGTCAGGAACACGGCGAGAGATGGCAGTCTGCAATCATCGTTACTGCATTAAAGCACTGGAGTCACATTTCAGTACTGTGACTAAGGCGAATACATGTCTGAGACCAGCCTAGACATAAAGACAGCAGTACTGCGCAAACCCCACTCAAACAATATCACAACATTTAACTTACCAAACCAGTTGGCATCTTCTATCAGGTGCTCAGACTCTATTTTTCCCAGTTTATTGTGTGCCTCCACCCAGATGTCCAGTGTCATATGACTGGGGTAAATTTTCATAGACACTATGGCACAATTTTCTTGTGTTGACACACTGTAGGTCTGAGTGCTGTTGAGAAAAGATTTTAATACCATTTAGACAAACCCAACAGCAAGGCCTACACAATGATACATAAACTTGGAATTCCTCCCATTTAAAAGTTTTACACTTTTCATAATACCTTGTTCTATTTCTTTCATATATTCACTATATGCTCACAAACTGATATTCAGTCCAGTGCTTTAACCTTGGGCCGGGCATGAATAACACAGATATGGAATCTGTAACACTGCTGGCTTCATCTGTCTGTTGATGAAAAGCTAAAGTGATGACTTGAAATATGTCAAATTGAAAGCTGACTTTTCTTTTTAATAGTCTGAAGATTACTGTTTTTCTTTTCCTCTGCACCACAAGACAAAACAAGTCCTCATTAAAAAGACAAAGCCGGGGGCCTGTGCTGGGATTTCAGTCAGGGTAGCCTTAAGGTACGGTTATTTCACACTTCTGTCCTACAAATATTCACTATTATTTATTTATTTATATATATATCCATTCACTTCTTTCAAATGCTATACAACAGACTACTTCCTGTTATGTTACGATCTCCAGTCGGCTCTGGTCGACCAAAACAAACAGATGTTGTTATTCTGGTGCGTTTCCTCAGTATTTTAGTACATTCTCACACTAACAGACCACAAGCTGTAGCGGTCCTCTCATCCACTGTTTGGATCAATATTTATCTTATCCGCATCAGAAATGTAACATCACACCCTCTTTCAGGGCAATTCTGTTCTACGCAAACATAATGTGACAGTACCTTAACACAGAGATCCTCATTAGATTTTAGAAGGAGGAAAACTGCACTGGCCTCTATGGGTTGTAAAGTACAAGTCTGATGCACAGCAGACCACGCCCAACGTCACAGCTGGGTGTAGTCAGACGTGGTCCGTTGCAGGGCGGCAACTAACAATTCTTTTCATTGCCAATGAATCTGTATTTTCACGATTAATCGAGGAAAAGTCAGAAAATGGTGAAAGACCAAGATGACATCCTTAAATGACTTGTTTTGATTACAACCCAAAGAAACCAGAAAATATTCCCATTTAAGTAGCCGGAATCAGAGAACTTTGACATTTTCAGAAGAAATGTTGCCAAAATGTAACAGAAGTAGCTACAATGCAAAAACATCTGTACTCACGAGGTGACTATAACATTCAGTGTGTACGTTGTTTTGACAGCTGTGGTTTGACGTCCAGCTGGATGCCACTTACAGGTGATGTCTGAAGAGATGACATTTTTATCCTGAACTGCCACACAGGACAGATTCTCAGGCTTCCCTGGACGATCTGACAATGGCACAAACAACACAGGCTTCTTGTTAACTTTTTTAAAGACATGTTTTGATGTAAATGACACAACTCAGAGGTAAGGAATCCTCTAGAGTCACAACAAAATATAGTGGAAATACTTTATAACCGTCCGCAGCACTGTAGACGTGTGTACCCACAACAGTAGATCAAATGTAAAACCGGATGTAGGTCTGTGGGCTCTTACGGATATTTGAGGCAGACAGTTTGGGTAATAAATTTAATATTTGCCTCATTTACAAAAAAACTGTCTGCGGTAAAATGTAATTACAAATAATAGAAATATTAAACTAATAAACAAGTTTTAAGTTCTGAAAAGAAAAACTTACAGCCTTTTGTCAGAAGGATCCCGTGAATGAATCTGCCTGTGTTCAGGATAACATAGGATGACTTTTTCTTGCAGAGGCAATACAGCCATTCTGATTTTTCACTGGTGGGGACGACAGTGACACTGAGAGCTGATCTGTTGATCAGAGTGTACTGTTCTCTGGGTATGACAGTCTCAGACAGTTTCCAGTAGAGGTCATCCGCTGTAACTTCAGTTGTGTTGTTGATCATACATGTGGCCGTGAAGTTAGTCCCCATCTCTAACATTGGAGACTGTGGGGCAATCACCAAATGGTTGTAATTTTCTGAAGACCAAAAAAACACAAGAAAACACTGTAATTTAATGTTCAGAAGCAAACGCAACCAAAGCAATACTCATGAGAAGTGTACTTCATTAACATATTTACTGTGACTGCTGAGCCAGCAAATAAGTCACAGTTCCTCCCACAGACTTTGCAATCACCACAAACCCAACAGGAACTTTGGACGCTAAGTTTGCTATTATTACTATGTTACTGTATAGACCACAAAGACAGTGGGTTTAAATGCTGTTTTTTTATTTTATTTAAAACAATGGAAAATTTGAGCAGAAACTGATACATTAAAATTATGTTTGTTGTATTTTTACTTCACTGGTAGTGAACTGTGCCTTCTTTAATTGTCATTGACATTCTGGACAAAGCAGCTGCCAGTCCTCTGCTGGACACATTAAACAGTAGGAACAGGCTGTGATAATACAGCTGTAATACAGAAAGTGGAACGTATAACATTGCTGGGATCACTGGGGGTGGCTTTCAAAATGTGATATTGAAACGTTTTGTTAGCATGGCTATTCATGAAGTCTATTATGTGATATTTTGGAGGGAAGTTGAGCTGCTACATTTCTATTTAGTTTTGTTTCTCTCATAATCCTTGTTTTCTTTATGTGATAATGTTTTGTCTGATTACATTTGAGTCAAAGCAACAAGGTTCTGCTTTGTCAAAACTAAATAGAGGCGGAAGACTACAGAAACACCGCCGGTTATTAACAAGCTTAATAGCATTTTTCTTGCTGTAGATTTGAACACACTGTGCAAAAACAGTTGTGTTCTACATGAAAAGATAGCTACTGTCAAGTAGCTGGCTAGCTAGAACCATCTCCTGGTGAGAAAAACTGAATGTAAACATGACTTGTTGTTCTTTGTTTACCCCAATAGGGTACCTTTAAGAAGCAAGCAGGGCAAATGTAATTTTCCCGGGCAGAAAACAGGAAAAACAGGTGCAAGTACGGTGTTAGTGAGCCAGCATGAATGACGGCATCGAAATGGAATGTAGCCATTATTAATGCTTTGAGTTTTTCCTGCTGTAACGTGAGAATTACAGTGAAGCACACTGTGAAAGGGTTAATGGCGCTGTGTCGTCCACCGCAGCAGCAGAGGTGACATTTTAAAATGCAGACATATATTACACAGAGAGAGCTTGGTTTTTATATGTCCAGCTCAATGCTGTTGTTAGCAGTGAAAATGTAAAATGATACTGACCCCCTTCAGCAGGTGGAGCAAGGCAAGCTAACACCCACAGCAGGAGCACTCTCGCAGACACCATGATGAGGGCTAGCTAGGAACAGAAAAATGGCATATATCAGACTGGAAAAGGTTACGTCAAAAACATAACAACAAGTCTTTATAACTTAACTTAACTCATAAGTGCGCAACGTCGAGGTTAGCCTAATAAGTAAACAGTTACTCGTTTATCTGATATTTTTGCTAAAATATAGGATTAACTGACTCTGCTTTGTTGCCAAAGTGACTTAACGTTAACGTTATGTGGAACGTACACATGTAAATAACAGACATAAGTTACATTTAAATATGAGGACTTTGACTCCGCCTTTCGTTGCTGTCGTTTTTAACATTACAAAACAAGTTGTTCTAAACGAGCACAGGCGAAATGTTATTGACAGCGTCTAGCTAATAATGTGCACAATGTTGCGAAATTAATAAGTTAACGTTAGGTTAGCATTGAGAGCTCACGTTCCCATCGCTGCTACTAACGCCATATTGTTTCCGCAGTCAGAAGCAAGAGGTTATTATTTACCTAACTGGCGTCAAGTTTAGTCCCTGTCTGTTCTTCGTTAGAGGAGTACCATCTTTCTTTATGGCTAAAACCTAACGACCGACGAACCAAGTTTAAGAAACAGTAGCTTTCGTTCGTGTCTCGTCCATGCCAGTGATTCTGGTAGGACCACCCACTTCCCGTCATAGGAAAGTTGTGTCGCAACGTTTTGTGATGTTGCGCAGTACTCACACGATCATCCAGCATACTGATGGATCGGGGGTCCCTGCTGCTCAGCGTGTGCCATTCCACGGACAGCTTAGAGATCTGCTTACGTGCTCAGTGACTCCACACTGTTCAGTGATTTGTCACAGAGACTGCGTGTCAAACCCAAAAGCCACAGCCTTTTGTGGTTGTCCTTAATTGTTGTTTTCCAGTATGTCTCCGCCCCTCCGGCTCACAAGAAGTCACGTGCCCGGAAATGTTCTTGGCATCGACTTCGACTTCCCAACAGAAGGCAACACATGCTGTGTTTGCTTTAGCCCTGAAAACCAGACAGCTGATTAATTGAAAATTCCCAATGTCCAAAATTAGGTTGTTAATCCTATTAGGCTACACCTGTAACAACAACCAACTCAGCGGGGATTTTAAAAGTATTTTCAAACGGAGAGAGAGCAGGTAATAAGAAGGTATCCCAAAAAAGTTACACAAATAGAGAAAGATATAAAAAAAAATAAGAAACTAGGGGAAGGTTGTACAATATTGTAGGAGAGAAACCGGAGAGGCTTTCATACTGTATCAGAGAGTGTGGAGGATCACCCTCAGATTGAACAGCTCACAGTTTTGCTGACAGAGACAGAAGCAGAGGATCAATCCGTGCCTGCGGTAGGAGGGAGTAGATATTAGACTGTATTCAGACCCAATCCGCCGTTGCAGCGGCTGTGTGACTGCCTGTGGGGGTGCATGCATGTTTATTTGTGTTTTAGAACATAACCGCAGTGAAACAATCTGTGAACATTTTCCACATCTAGGAGAGGATCATTAGATTCAACTTCATTGTCATTATGCGGAGTACGAGTACAGAGCTAATGAAACGCAGTTAGCATCTAACCAGAAGTGCAGAAATATAGTGATTTTATACAGATTTTATAGAATTTGCTATATCTTTTACAGTGGAGTTACAATATATAGATACAGGAACCGTGAGTGTATAGAGGAGAGGTGGACAAGATTAGAGAACTGAGAGTGCAAATGCGGTTACAGTGTGAACAGAAAGTAAATGTAAGTATGCAGAGTACGACACCATATTCACAGTAAGTTATACAGTTGGCAATATGTACAGTAACATCATTAAATTGTGTGCAAAATTTGAATAGTGCAAATAACATGTAGGCCTACTGTGAGTAGTGCACTATGGGTATTAGATTGACTTGCGGGGTCACAGATGATGGCTCTTTTGTGCTGCTCAGGCAGCGCCTGTGATAAATGTTCCATTGGGCAGTTTTCACCACCCGCTGGAGGGATTTGGGTTATGTAGAGCAGTTGCCATACCACACTGAGATGTTCCTCAGGAAGGGAGGCAGGGCTGGGTGGTTTGAAGAACCTATGGTCTGTATGCCTTGCCACATACGGCACACGTCCGAGGAGTGCTCTTCAATCCTCTGTTTGTTTGTGTGTTTGGCAGATTCCCCTCTTCAGGTTAGCCCTGGCTGAGCTGTAAACCTCTCAATGTTCAGAACTGAATACTGCATCTCTGGTTTTGAGCAAAAGGCGAACCTCTGTTCATCCAGGGCTTCTGGTTGGGGAAGGTTTTTATTTATTTTATGTGGTCACTGTGTTAATCACATCATTTCAGTGTTAATCTGAGAGTTTGTGTTGGCCTGAGCAGCAAAAACACACACCCCTGTGTGCTGGAAATGATGCTGAAGAGCGGAGTCAGCACCCTACGACCACATCCTTATACATATAATGACCAGGGTACACATGGGAATCAGGAACAAAGAGACGGTCAGACTGCCCCACTTGGGGGATGGGGTGTGACTTTGCAGGCATCAGTCACACTGGTGTAACTTAAAAATCATGTACTAAATCAGCAGAGCAGTGGGTATCAACAATGTCTATGCACCATGCTTTGTTTAAATAAATGCCACACCTTTGTTTTTACCTGAAGCTGCTGCTTCCGGATTCACCACGCTGTTAAGGATTAATCTGAAACTTCTGATTATTGTAAGCATTGATACACCACCAAAACCATCTGAAGTGTTTTTTTACTGAACTGTCTGCACTATTGACATTTGTTTGTGCCATGACTGCCAGTATATGTCTTTTAGGTGATTTAAATATGTCAACAAACCCGCTAACTATAACTTGGCTAGAGATTTTCTGTCCCTCCTTGACAGTCGCGATATCACCCAAAGTGTCATTTTTCCAACTCACAACTAAGGTACCATCTTTAGACTTAGTCTGTACCACGGTGTCAGTCCCTCTAATGTCACTGATGGTCACCTCTCTATTTCTGATCACAAACCTGTTTTGTTTGACATCCCTGTCCCCCTTTCCATGAAACAAATCAACTGCAACATCACTTTCTGACCTTATCACCCACTAGAATGCCTCCTCCCCTCAAAACCTGTTCAGTGTCCTTTACCCACACTGCTCCCTAGCACATCCCTGAGCTACGCTGCCTGAAAGCCACTGGACAGCAACTTGAACGTTCCTATAAAAGATCCGGTCTTGAAATATATCTACAAGCATGGAGAGATCACCTTGTGAACAACAAAAATTCCCTATCAGCTGCAAAATCATCCTTTTACTCTGACAAAATCAACTCTGGAAAAAAACTCCACAGTTCTATTCTCCACAGTCACTGTTTGAATTGCTGAAAAAGTATACCATTACAGTATGTTATATACAAAACAAGGTGAGTCTTAAAGTTTGGCAAGTCATGACTGGAATTAATTTTAAAGAAACTTTTATTATTGATCAAATATTTGTAGGGCACTAACCACAACAGCATCATTTCCACTGGGGATGGGGAGGACATATCCCACTTCCTTTTATTGTTTCAGGTAGATTTTTTTCAGTTTTCAGTTTCAGTTCAGTTCTGAACATTGTCCACTTACTGTAAAACTTTCATAATCCAGAGTGGATACGTTCTGAGCTTATAAAACTGTTGCTCCACTGAGTCATCTTCCTGTGCACTCAGTGCGGCAGAGTATTCCGAGTCTTATTAGTGAAGGACCGTTACACAGGGCTGAAAAGGCAGCGACAACTTTGTTTTTTATCTACACTTAAAGCACAGAGCTTGTTGTAGTGAGCATTCAAATACAATGTCTGTCAGAAACAAAATGATTTAAGTACAGTTAGTACATTAACAATAAAGAGGTTAACACATCTTTTATCTTCTGTTCTATTACCATTATGGACAGCTGGTTTGACCTATAACTCTGAAACCAACCTTGAATAAGCATACCCTTTCCCAGCAAATAGTACTCACTTCTATTCAAACACATTTTCACCGATGGGAGACTGGGGATCTGTTTGGGTTTCAAGAACCATCAATCTTAGGCACCATCAACACTACTCTGTTATTGTTTAAAAACGGATTTTTAAAACGATTACGATCTCCGTCATCAGAAGCGTTTTAGCTGTGTTTTAGAGTTGATCTCCGTCTACATTAAAACGACTGAAAACGCCCGTCTAGTGGCCGTTCACGCCCAGAGTCGTTTGTAAAGACACAACAGTCATCTGCAGAGGTTTCACAACTCAAGGGACTTTGCAAAATGTCTTTAACTATTTAAAAAGCTTAGTTGTCAGCTGACAAATAAATTTTCAATAACACAAAGGTCCTTGGCAAAGAACAAGGACCGACTTCTGAACTAACCAGATGATAAATAGACTTTGGTATTAGAGTTCTGTATTGTTGCAGATGTTGTTTTACATTTGTCAGAGAGAGACTTGCTTCACAAATGGATGTATGTTTGTGATACTGGACTATGCTGGCACTGTTTATTTCAATGCCTCTGGGACCAATCTCTTTCCTCTTAATGCCATCTATAATAGTCTTTGTATATTTCAATCAGCATGCTTTGTTTCTACACATTATTGTACAATGCTTGATGCACTCAGATCAGTCCCTTTGGATACAACATCACAATTTGGTATCAGCTTATTTTTAAATGCATACATTTGAATAATTTTTAAACTCCACTGGGAAGCTCTGATAGTTTAGGGACGCTTTATGGTTCACTTTGGCTTGTTAAAGGGTTTGTGTTCATGGTTTCTGACTGGAATCATTTACCGTTGTTGTTCTATATTTTTATATTGTCAATCTATATATTTATGTTCACAATAGTTTCTTCCACTGCAATACGTCTGCACAACACAAACCAGAGTAATGCACATGTAAATATGTGCAAATTGTTCTTTCTATAGTAGTTAATAGTTATTATTTTTCTCTATTCTTTTAATATTCTTATATAACTCGCATTTGTTTATTCCATATTTATATATTTCTACATTTATTTATGTCAACTGTATGTTTGTCTACGTGTCATCACCACAGCAAATTCCTCGTATGTGTAAAACACTATTTGGCAACAAAGCTCCTTCTTATTCTGATTCTAATATATATCAAACTACGACAATGAAATCATGTCACTTTCTTTCTTTTAATTCAAAGGGCTTGCACTGATGATTTTGCGTCAGTACTGATAGGTAACAACTTAGAAACAATCAATGCAACTACTTTACTTCATGTCAAAGTAAAAAACAAACAAAAAGTACTCTAATCAGGAATCAATCATTTGCACAAATGCATTCAGACAGAAATCACTACTGCAACCGATTAGTTTGTGTCTGTCAATCAGTTTGTCAACAGTACAGTTACCTCCTGGCAGAGTGCTTCACAAAATTAAGACATATGTTTCAGACATGACATGTAAAACAATTTCACTGTAAAACGCCACATCATCATAGATTGCTTGGAATTATATTATTTCAGGAATGCATTTTTTGTTACAATATATGTCATTACAGCTCCCAGCTTTATTCATTTCACCTTTTAACATAAAGAAGCAGTCCCACTCTTACATTGCTACAAGTTGTTGCTCTATTAGTAATTGAATTCCATTAATAATTGAATGTCGTCAGTCAGACATCAATTGTTGGTGCCTCCAAAACTGTTACAAATCTCTGGTGTTTTCTGAAGTGCCCCCACTATGGTTAAGATTTGGTTCAGTGTAAGCACAGAAAGAACTTCGAAGGGAAGGGAAGCTAATGGCCGTCTCCTTGGAGGAATTCAAACGGTCCATGTCTCAGCAAAACTTTGACATGAGTCATATGAGTAATAATACTGTGAAAGGACAGTTTTAGACATTTGAACATTCCTGCATCACTTTATCAACCACGGGGAAATCAGGAAAAAACATAACGTTTCTAGTGTATTCTAGCAACTGTTGTGTGAGGGAGAAAAGTTTCTTGTGTGCGGTAGCACCTATCTCGTATGAGTTTCACTGTCATTTATTCTTCAAAGATGACAAAACACAAGTGGGCTCTGCTACATTCATGGATATGTCCAATGAGAAAAAGCTTCATCATGTTTGGTCAAACAAGAGAAACCTTTGTAGCAGAGACCTTTGCTCTTGGGACAGTGCCCCCAAGATAGTTACATTTGCATGCAAGAAACTTTTCATTGATAAGATCATCTCTGATGAATTATACGATGCATGCAAAATAGCTTTCAGCTAAAGACACATTATTGCTCATGTTACTTCAGGGGCTTGTAGATTTCCATCTCAACTCATATTTCTTTTTTTTTCCAATAACAACTGGTGATGTCAAATTAAGGTTCCATCTGTAAGGGAGTGTGCTGGGAGCTTTGGGTGGGAGATTAAATATTTCTTGGTCTTGCTCTGTCCTTCGAAGTCTTTATAGATTGTTGAGCTCCAGAAGGGTTTGGTCCAACACCTGGTGCATGTCCAGGTTCTCTTCTTTGGCCTGGGCCAGTTTCTCTGGAAGAGGAAGCAAAGTCACAGGTGAGCTTTCATATACATTTCCTGTGTGGAACTGGAGATGTGGAAACTCCATGTCTTTTTCCACAGTGCACTGTTTGACATGACGAGGGTTTACTGAAAAGACAGACGGTAAGCTCAATCAAGCAGGAACATGGCAAACCTGCATCAGCTACACTACATTTTTCAATAACATTTCACAAAACTGTAATTTCATAATAATAAAAAAATACATCCATCATTTGGTACTTATTGTACTGGGGCTGCAACTAATGATTCTTTCCATAATTGGTTAATCTATCGATTATTTTAAAATGAATTATTACGTTAATGGATCAGTCAGATCACACATTTTTTGTTCCTGGGTAGTAAGTGTTATTTTGTAATTGCTTATGCCTAAAAAGTATAGAAAATTACAATTATTCCCCTAAAACTTTGATTTTTGTTCACATAAAGTCAGAAAAAATAACATATGAATCCAAATGAACCTTTAATTTATACACTGGCTTTGATCTTTGCCTGAGACAACTTATAGAAAAAGTCTTGAAAGTACTTGAAGGTTGCCGACTCCTCATCTAGAACTCTGACCAGTGGTTCAATAAGGCCCAATTTCAGGTGCAGTTCAGGTGGCATCATCACCTTCTGGGGTTACACTGGGAATTACAATTACCTATGATTTTGTACCATATTGTATACATAGTGAATGCATCAGCTTCAGCTCATTTTATGAAACACCGTTTTTAAAGTAATTCTCAGAGAATTAAACTAGATTCTTCAGTCATTCATACTGTGCAAAACATTTTTCAGCTGGAAAAGGCCAAAAAATGTTGTCAAAATGAAAATGAAATCAAGTTATTGGAACATCACTGTCACAGTGAAATCAACCTTTGTCATGGACTTAATCAAGGCAGGCGAGTCTATGAATTGTGTCATGACAGTATATCCATTTTTCACTTATGTACAGTACAAACATGATAGTAAATCCAACTGAATACAATCTATCAAACTTGTGCCATACAAACACACTCACTTCACCAACAAGTATTCATTCAAAGCTTTCTCAGTACCTTATTCACAGTGTGCACCTGGCTCTGCAGGTGTAGTGATGCACCGGTCAAGACTTCCCATGCATTCACCGAACATTTCTGTTTACTTACTACGTACTTCTTGACGTTGGAACATTTACAAAACACATATGCCATGTGCAGGTCACCTTCACTGAGGTCAAGAACTTCACCTGAAATGACATCACTGTAGTCATGCTAAAGTTGGATCTGTCTGAGGTGAGCGAGCAGGGAGAATATGACAGTGGGTGTGATGTGGCCTGACATCTACCGCACAGTGTTTCTCCACTGTTTTGATGCACTAGAAACAAAAAGTCAGATTTGAGAATTAACCTACTGACAGTTTCACTCTCTCTCAAAACTCTTCATACAATCAGCAAAATCATATGCTGGTGTCTAAAAAGAAAACGCCAAAGCCCCTCACTCAAGACACTAACGAGAAAAACAACCTCCTCGTCTGTCATTTAGTGCTGATAAACCAGGTGGTCTACAGCCATGCTAGCAGTGGCACAGCAGTGCTTTGAGCTAAATGCTAACATCAGCACTAGAAATATCAAAGCTAACATGCAGATGTTAAGCTGCTATACTGTTCACCATCTTAATTTAGCATGCTAATCCTTGACAATTAGCACTAAACAGAACAGCAAGAAAAGTGCAGCTGAATTTCATAGTTCTGCAGGTATTGGATCATAATAATTGGACATATTCTTATTTTGACCTGATGATGGCACTAGATGAAAAGTTAAAAGATCACCAATTACATTTCATCCTGACAGGAACAGGAATGTTTAATGGAGATCCATCCAGTTGTTGAGCTAGCCCATCTGAACCAGAGAGTTGGTCAGACCATCAGGCAGTCAGATGGTCCCAGACTGTGAGACGGTGACTGACACACCATCAGATGGTCACAGACAGACCGTCAGATGGTAAGATAGACCCTGCCTTTCCTGTCTCGACTGTCACTGTCAAAATATTTATTACACATATTCTCTCTGCTCAGTCACTTTGGATAAATTGTGAAGCATGGTAATGACATTTGTGTGAGTCTCACTTTCCTTGAAGAATTGTTCTTGATGGATTGGTTTTAACACTGCACTGCAGTCTAAAGCTGATGATACACGGAGCAACTTTTAGAGCAATGGTACTGGGCAATGCTGCCAGTGGTAATGAGTAAAGATTACTACTGTGATCCCCTTCCCCAACCACTTCACCACAAATGACGCTGGGCAACTGTTGTCCCTCTGTACAATTACTTTCCCTTCAGTCACACACTCCTGTATCACAGCTGCTTGTCCTGCTCTCTTTGCTCCCATTTTTTTAGTATGCACCTTTAGTAAGCGCTTTTACACTACATCTGCATTCACCATTCACTCACTTTCATTCACAGTGCTCAAACAGAAAATAACATTCACACACATTCATACACTGGCGGAACAGCCACCAGGGGCAATTTGGGGTTCAGTATCTTGCCCAAGGACACTTCGACATGCAGCTATGTTGATCCAACATACTGTCTCTGGAGTCCAAAAGTACCTCTTCATCGTTTCCCACAGTGAATGAGCCAACAGGAACGAAACTGATTCTCTTCATCATATTGTGAGCAGAAGACTCTCAGGTGAAATCTGCTCTCAGTGTCTGCACTTGTGTTGTAACCAGGGCATGATATTAACTTTGGTCACTAGCCAACGTGGCTAGTGGCTTTCCAGTTACTAGCCACACAGCATTTTCAATAGCCACATATTTGTTGTTGGAAAATTGTGATTAAAGTTGACTATGGTGTCCTTACATGTGCTTTGAATGTTGATCAGTGTACATTGTCCCTTTTCAAATAAACAAATAAATTCCAAAATGAAATGAAAAATGGTGTGCTGAAATGTACTAACATTATCATTAGCTCTGATAAGGTTGTGTGTAGCTCGTTTTTTTGAAAACATGTTGTCTAGTAAGATAAAAGAGTAGCTTCTTATAGTAGATAATGAAAGTGCTGCATGGGTGTAAAAGAAGAATTGAAACTGGCATGGAAAGGTAGCCTAGTTGTGATATGACAATATGATGTGACATAAGGGCAGCCCTGCTAGTAGTTTATGTTATTTTCTTTTTTAAACACCACCGTGTCCTTTAAGCATGAAGATATCTGTATTTTCACAGCATTTAACAGCTCTTTTCTCCTGGCTTTTCTCCGTCTCTGCCTTTTCTCTTTGTCTCATTCTCCTGTACATTTTGACACTGAACCTGTGTTGATGTGTGTGTGCATGCAACCAGTCACGTGTGATGACAGCGATCATACCTTCAGCTTAAAACAAGAAGGGAGGCTGACGGTCTACAGGTCTGAGGGACTGTGGCTGCCCTGTGACAGATTCAACTTTTATAGGCCTATTCGACAAAAGTCTGTCATATTTGGCGCACCTCAAGTGACGGCACTGCAGGAGAGAGTGACGCGCCTGTGGTCTGGATTCTCCTGCTATTAAAAAAGCTTTCTATTGCTGCCGCTGGTCAAGTTGATAATTAACGGCAGGCTGAAACAGCCCTCAGTCCAACGGCCAGTCCGCGAGTTTGATCTCCACACCATCAACTTGTTTACAGTGTTGTCGGTAAAGACAATAGGGTTCACGAAGGGATCAATGAGCAAAAACTATGTGCAGGCAGTAGCCTACTCATGGGAGTTATAGTGTCGTAGTGTCAAATTGCAATTAGTTTGTTATTTCAGATGACTAGAATTTTTCAGCATGCCAAAGTGGCTAGTGGCAGTGACTGTTACCCGCCACGGCTGAAATCTACCATGTTTGGCGAGTGTTAATGTCAAGATCGTATAAACATGTTCTGTGTGTTTCTCTAGGTGCTCTGATCTCCCCTGTGCATGTGTGGTCTCTCTCTCATTCTGCAGTGGTGTGTGTGCCTCAGGGTTTCTACATGATGCCAAAAGTAAAGAACGTTGTGTGAAAAGAACCATACATCATTAAAGGTTAAGTGAATGCGTTTGAAGTTTTGATCAATACATTTGCTGGTTTAGAGTTGCTCGACGTCCTCCTGGATCCATTCTTCATATACTGTATGTCTACAATCTACAAGTTTTTCCTCAAGGGTGTAAGGACAGAGGGTGTTGTATGCTGTAAAGCACCTTGAGGCAAATTTGTGATTTGAGAAATTGGGCTATATAAATAAAATTGACTTGATTAATCCAAGAGGGGGTCATGTGACTGGGAATGCAGGGGATGTTACACTGTCAGAAACCTGCATCAGATAAAAGGCATTATGATTTCAGGGCAAACAGGTGTTCTTTCTCCTGTGGAGAAGGCAGACTACCTGTGAGACAACAAATGAGAAAATTTGTCAACGCTGTAATGAAATTACTTGTACGCAGCACTACAAGTGGTTTTTGCATTGCATTGCTTAAGCAAAGGATTGACCAATAAAGATTGACCCTTTTACATTCAGTTTAGTTTGCCCTAAAGAGGTCATTTCATGCTAATTTTCAGGTTTAAAATTATTTAGGAGTTGTCCCAGAACAGGTTTGCATAGTTTGACCTGGATGACTGAGAATCGTCACAGACAATTTCTGAGGACATACATATACATATATATTACAATTAGGGGTGGGGGGGGGGGATTGATACAGCATAGTATTGTGATATTTGTCATGGCAATACTGTATCGATACACGGACGCCGAGTATCAACCTTTTATTATATAAATTGCACATGAGAGTTTTAACTTTTTGGTACTGGAATAACAAAATCTATTGCTCTTTCAATCCACTAGAAAACTCCATGTAGAGGACTGAAAAAGTGATACTTTTTGATAAACCGATGTTGACAAAGTTTTGAAGTTGGAAAAAGGTAATAAATTTTAATATATCTCAAAATATTTAAAATCGAATCGCAGCAAAAGTATCGTGATAATATCGTATCGTGGGGCCTCTGGTGATTCCCACCCCTAATTACAATTGCATAAAAAATACTTTAAACATGCTTATTTTTGTTTCCAACTGCATAATGGTGTGCTACATAGCAGTTGTTTATTATTCACACTGCTTATAAATGTTAAATAGAGAAAGTAAATGGAAGAGAAAGAAGGAAAGACTAGAAGGAGACAGAAAAGTCAAGACAGCTTTAATACATTTATTACAGGGGGGGGGGGGGTTCAGGTTCACATGGATATTTCAATAAGTCAGCAGTGACTGGGTGAGCAGTAACTTAACCTTCTGTGTGAAGTCCAGTGCTAACACAGATACAGATTACTGAGAGGAGGGTGCATTCAGCACATTTACATTTCTAGAATCTTCTAAGCCCCTAAAATCACGGTGGAATGGACCAAAACAACAGCAAGCAGGCGGACAAGAGATCAGAGAGGAAGGAGGGAAGGAGCAGCAGAAAGGAAGTGAGGCAGCGGCTACAGTGTAGTCATGTCATTGAGGGCCAGGTCCAGCTCCTCACTGAGAGCCTTGCCCTTCAGCTTCTGAGCATACACTTCATCTGGAGGAGGACACACACACAGACAAGGGACCGAGACAGATGCACAGAACGGAAATGGAATGATGCAAAGGGACAGGAAACAGAAAAGTTCAACAAGCTAAATAAAAACAGAACTGAAACCAGTCAGCTTCAAACGGCATGACCAAGATTCCCTGTTAAATGTCATCACACACCACCGAGCACAAGTAACAAACAAAAGCTCCACTCAACGCCTCCTTTAGCACAGGCCAGAGACGGCAGGATCAGTACTGGGCCTGGCAAACGCTTCCTGCAGCACAAGGTCTTTAAGGTCGTTAAATTGTTATTGATGTGATTAGTGCATTTAGGTGACCCTCTGGAAGATGTGAAGTCCACACTTCCTGGAAACAAGACCTGTGAACAGCTTTTGCTTTTCTATCTATCTATCTATTCTATCTGTGATATCACAAGAGACATTTCGCTGCTAGTTTTTTTTGTTATCTCATTTTAATGCCAGAAACAACCCTCATTACTCTACTAGTTGTCTACAGTGTAAAACATACTTATTAGCAGAAACATGTTTTCAAAGTACTCATAGTGCAGAATTAATCTATCATGTAAGCAGCATTTTAATATTGTAGCTGGTCAAGATGGAGCTCATTTCTCGCATATACAGTTGTTTTTTCAAATATAGTGGAGCAGAAATATAAAGTAGTATAAAATGGAAATAATCAAGCTAACAGGTATCTCTGAACTGAGTTTTAGTAAATTACTTGTTTACTACATGAAATGTTGTACAATGAAATACTTATTTTACAGAGTAACGTGGTCTGGTAGTAAGTTCAATTGAACACCCTGTGTTGGTAGCAGTAATCAATAAACTAAAATGTTTAAAAAAGGTAAAGGAAAGGTAAAAGAACAATGTTAAAAAATAAATTACTAAATTATAAAAAATAAAAAAAAAGGTCCAGAATTCATGTAAATCAAGTAAAAGTATTACAAGCATAATGTACTGAAAGTATCACAACTACTTGTTATGCAGACAAAAGGCACCTCTAATAGTGGTATATTATTATATATTGTCCTGGATTATTTTCAATCATGCATTTACATGTGAGCGGCGTTGTAATGATGTGTTAAATGAACTATTTCACCTACTAACCAAGTATTTTATAACTGATCATGCGTTCTGTGCAAAATATTAATCTGTAAAGTGGCTAGCTGGTTCATGGCAGAAAGTAAAGTCCGTCAGGGTTCAACTGTTTTGAGCAGTGTGTGATGCAGACGGCAGGGGCAGAGGATGCTCACACCTGTCCCCTGCTGGTTGTCAGCCATTTGACATGGCAGCCATTCGGAAGCTGCTCTCAGATTTCATATCTGCACTTTAAATGTTTGAATGTTGTTGTTGTTGTCACTTTTTTACGCTTTTTTATTTTCTTGAACTTTTCTCTGTTTGTATTTTCCTAACTTATTTTACTGTCTCTACTGCATGCATGTAAAGTACTGTAGTATACTAATAAAGTTGTACTACAGTATATAGCGGGGGGGGCTGTGTGATGTAAACTTTGTTTACACATCTGTGAGGGTGTAAAGGGACGTCTCAAAGCCCAGAATTTAGGACCGTTTGTGGGGACGGACTGCACATGACATCTGTACATGTTTGATCAAATTTACAAGCCTATGTAAATACACTGTGTAGTATACAAACAGCTGCATGCATGTACGCTGTGCATGTTTGTTTTGGAATATATCAGGCTGTTACTCAAAAAGCTTTGCATTTGCAAAGGAAATGGGAACAGATGTATCAACAGTGGAACACCAACGCAGGTGGCATGTACGGGTCTGTGTGTACAGGCTGCACTATTTAGCCACCAGACATAGGCAGATGATGAAATATACGTTGGTCCTATACACCGCTTTAGATTTTGTCACATCATCAGCTCAGGCTGGCACTTGAGAGCACCTTAAGACTTTTACAGATCCTCACAAAGCTGTGCTTATGGAGGCCATAAGAATGCAAAGGTGAAAACCACAGAGATCATGCTAGGTCTCATGGCTAGTAATGAGTCAGAGGTGATTTGGTCCTTCCAGTCATCAATGGCTTCCTCAGATAGAACTGCAGGACACAGCACAGCTGTGCAGCCAGCAACAGCAGAACTGGGATTAGTGAAGCTGTTAGCTACTGTAACATTATTCACTGCAGGACAGTGAACAGACATGTTACTGGTGGCAGAGACAACAGGTGAGTGTTGAATACCTTCCAAATCATCAATGGTCTTCTCCAGCTTGGCCACAGACCTCTCTGCAAACTCTGCACGGGTCTCAGCCTGCGACACAAACCACAGCACAACATGTGTCAGTGCAGTCTGACATGTATTAACACAGTCTCTCTGATCATTTAGCTCATATGCAGGAGAGTAACACAAACATCTCACCTCCTTCAGTTTGTCAGTAAGGACTTTAATTTCTTCTTCGTATTTATCCTCCTTTTGTGAGTACTGAAATCCAAACATAAAAGTGCAATTTAAATACATTTACAGCTGCAGAATTAGAAACAAGAATCAGCTTTATTGCAGAGTAGGATTACACATACAAGGAATTTGTTTTGGTATTTTGGGGCGCATAGTAGATAGAAAATATTAGAAAGACAAAGCCAGTACTGCAGGTCAGTAACTACTAGAGGTGGACTTCATAAATGGATGGCAAATACACTTCTTTGCTGTTCTATTTTGGAAGATTATTTGAATCATTTTGAAGAAAGGCAAGTAAGATAATTATGCATAGTTGGGTTTGAAACACAAAATGAAACAGTAAAATGTTAGGACAGTAGAGCACTTGTCCTCATGCTACCATTAGAGCTGGACAATAAAATAACAATAATTAGCGCAATATAATTTGTTTTAATAACAATATAACAAAACAAATATTTGATTTTATTCACTTGACTCATTAGGATAAAAAAAAATTATTATTGATGTTTATTATTGTTTTAAAGGACTGAAAAGAAACATTTTCCTTTTCTTTTATTTCTCGGGCATATTTGTTAACAAAGATTTTACCATAAATTATTTTGAATGTTCTGCCTCAGATTTGTAAAGTGATCCACTGTGTGGCCTCAAGTGTTGACCATAAAGAAGAGTTTAAACCACAATTAACCATTCACCATGACTCAGCAGCAAAAATCAGCCTTTACACTCAAAAGAAATAACGATTTGATACTTATCGTGATAATTATCAGTATCGAAAGATATGAAACGCTTTATTGTGATAACATTTTTGGCCATATCGTCCAGCCCTGGCTACCATGAACTATCTCTAACGTGTAACTATGTGGATAAATGATATTGAATGAAAAAGTGATGCTTATCTCTGTGACTTGAATGTAATGATGACATTACAAGAGAGGCACAAGGCGAGGCTACTTGTTGGTTGATCATTAACATAGTGTAAGATCATTTAAAGCAGCTTTAAACAGTTTTTCATGTCTCTACAGTAGGTTACTGATGGCCTGTCCCCCTTGTGTATGTTCATTACAGTACATTCCAGTCACAGAGCAACACCTTTTCTCAAAGATACTGCAGTTTCCAAGGTATTTCCAGGATCCTCAAAAATTCCTGCATATGTGTTGTTGAATGTGTTCAATGACTTGTTGCGTAAAGTATTTTTTAAACTAGATTTCAGTATGGACAGCACATACAGACTGGCGAGTCCTGAGGCCGAATGCCCATCAGCTCCTACTGTACCTTCTCAGCCTGGGCTTCCAGTGACTTCAAGTTGTTGGTGACATTTTTCAACTCTTCCTCAAGGTCACCTGATTTACTAAGCAACGTAAGAAAGAGGAAAAGCAAGAGAAAGCAGTGATTTGAAAGGTAGGACGGCAGAAGAGATCAAACCCGGACACCGTTGGAAGGACCACTCCAACATTTTTATAAACATTTTGTCTGTCCTACTCAGAGACAGAAGATGGACATCTATCATGAAACAGATCTGTTTATATCTGACTCTGAGTAAGACAGAGAACAAGGGTTTTTAAAGGGAAAATGAAGGCAGCGGGGTCAAAGTAGTCATGATACTAACCTGGAAGGATGGCGGATTACAGCCAAAATTAAGATACAGATAAATCACAAATTAAAGTATAAGTCTGTTGTTATTCTATATTTTACTTATTGTCAACAAATCTCAGGTGCACACACAAACCAACAATGTGTTAGTCCATCTCTCAATACGTGGCTCTCAGCTAAAAGCTTAAATCTTTGAAAACACCTCACAAATTAATTTTTTACTTTCTTAAAAAGGATGAGTAATTTCCTAAAACAGCTGCTCACCATAGTTTTATCAAACACACAGGAGGAAACTATTTTCAGCAGCGGGTGATTTCACATGTGCTCTAGTGAGGGTTTGGGGCGGCAGGACGGTGTGTGTGGGACTGAGTCAAAATAAACTACAGTGTGTGTGTTCGTGGTGATGAAGGAACACGTCACCCAGTGCAGCAGTGAGGCTCACCGATGTGCTGAGTCATCGTGTCACTTCCTGTCCAGCCTCTGTTTTACTTGCTTCTGTAGTTCAATGCAATCTCTCATTCAGTGTTTCTTTCATCAATTTTTCTGAAAAAAAATGAAGCCGGTTCCTGGGATTTCCTTTTCCTATTCTACAGCATCCACTACAGCACCTGTTATTAGAAATCAAAACCATGATTTTAACAAAGCTAAATAATGATTTCTTTCAAGCAGCGTCATCGAACCTATTGTCTAAGCTGCGGTGGTCTAGAGCTCCTGGTAAATGATGCATGCTAAGAGCAGCTAAGAAACATTGTTGGGCATGTATACAGCCTGAAATGAAGCTCTGCAGACAGTACACAGGGCTGAAAAGTTTCTCCTTACTTCCTCTGCATGTTTCGTGTACAAAAAAACCCTATTTCATCTCCATTTTGATTTACAGTCAACATTCTCCTAAAAAGATGACTGAACTTCGATCACAACGTATCCCTCTATCTCTCCCACATTTTCTGTCCGTATCTCACACCTCAATCAACCGAAGGCAAACTACTGAAATAAATAAATAAACAAATAAAGATAATGCCAATTTCAGTTAATATAAGTACATGAAATTACATTTTCTGTTAGTTTTTTTTAACTCTAACTCATTCTACTTCTGATAATCAAACCTATGCCCTTGAATCAATTTCTTGTTGGTTTGGGTCTTTTCCTGGGAATTGTTGACAAGAAAAACAATGTAGAATATCACCAGATTTATCACTAAAGTTCTGCTTGAAGGTAAGTGCAGGTTAGACAGAAAACAGAGAGAGGGGTTGAGAGGCTGCAGGTCAGAGGAGCAGAAGGCAGCAGATCAGAATCAGACCTCGGTGGAGTTCGTACAGTAAGTACCTCATCCTCTCCGCACATCATGGACTTCAAATTCTGGTCCATTAGCCTGAGCTCCTCCTCCAGCTCCCTCACTCGCCTGCAGGGGTTAGTCCGGGGGGTCGGGGGGTGACGGGAGACAGTGGGCAGAGCAGCCATAAAACAATAACAAACCAATAACAAGTCCCATACAGGTGATGGTGGTGGTGTATCCAGGCGTGCATTACATAAAAACACACAGGATGAGAACACAAATCACACATCCAGGTCTCTATCTGATTAGTGCATTGGTTATTTCCTGCAGCTTGTGATTCACACATGACGCTACAGTATCAGAATAATGTGCACTAATGCTGAAATGATTAGGTGAACAATCATCGACAAAAACTTTAATAATTGATTAATCTTTTAGGTCATTTCTAAAGCAAAAATTCCCAACTTAGGTTCCAGTTGCTGGTTTACTCTGTTCTATGATTAATCAATTTATTGAACCATTAGTTGCAAGAGAATCATTGTGACTTGAGTCCATGCAGCACTTTCAATTCCTACTACTACTATAAACACTTAGAGGATGATATTATTGTAAAGTAAGACACTCATTAATGACAAGCGAATGTGTAAGATCACATGTTGTCATAGCAGTGATCACATGATCTCTACCATGGCAGCATGAATAATGCACAGTGGCTCGTGTGTCGGCGTGAGCTGTCATGGCGCAGGTGTTGACTTACGCCTCGGCCACCTCAGCACGCTCCTCTGAACGCTCCAGATCCCCTTCCAGGATCACCAGTTTACGTGCAACCTGCAGACATTCAGCACACACTGAAGTGAGCCCTCCTAACCAACATCACCATTCTGTCTTTTCTTACCCTGCTCAGAAAGAGGATCTACACAGTCTCAACTGTGTTCCAACGCTATACTACATACTGTACTGTGTGTGTACACTATGACAAATCTAAGTGGTAAACTTATTACCCTTCACCAAAATGATTATAGAAAATGTACAGAAATAATGAATGATTCTTAAAATGTGAGTTTATTACTTTATACCATTTGCTGTTATTCCTGTGACACAATTACATCATCATTTCTGATCTGACTTTTTCCTATTCTTAGTATCCCTAACTCTTCATTTCAGTCCCTTTTCCTGTGTCAACAGGTGCGTGGTATTTGTTTGTAGTGTGAAACTGGCACACAGATCATGTCTATGATGTCATGCAAAGACCACGAGAAATCGGTCATTCCCCCACCTCTTCATATTTGCGGTCGGCCTCCTCAGCAATGTGTTTGGCCTCCTTCAGCTGCATCTCCTGGATCTCCATCTTCTCCTCGTCTTTTGTTGCTCTGTTCTCTATGACCTTCATTCCTCTAAAAGACAAGAGGGACAGACAACAATGAGCAGTCAGTCAGAAACTACTGTATGCCTGATTATATTCAGTATTCTCGTTCTGGCGCTAGCTGTAACTTCTACCTACACCAAACTAATGAATGTTTGGAGATTCAACTGTGTAGTCTGGAATTATTATTAGTCCTATTATCATCATTATTATTATCATTATTACTACTATTACAATTGCTATCATTATTATTACTATTATTACTTTTATTGATATTTGTATTACAACCAGTGCCACCCCGCTGTTTGTACAGGAAGTCTTCTTGGCTAACCCCTAACCCGCTTTAAATTTCTATGTAGAACTTGTATTGTGCCACTGTGTGCTCTTCCTCTCTCTCTCTTTCTCCCCCTATCTCTCAACCCAACCCAACACCCACCCTGAGTCTAGATTCTGCTGTAGGTATCTTTTAAAAAGGAGTTTTTGCTCATGCTTGCTCATGCTTGCTCATGCTTGCTCATGCTTGCTCATGGGGGGAATTGTTGGGTCTTTGCAAATAATATTACAAAGAGTACGGAATGAGATAACGTCTGTGATGAATTGCTGGTATATACAAATAAAATAGAATTAAACTGAATTGAACTGTAGTGAGTCCTACTCATTCTGTAAAAATAACGTACAATGTGTTTTTTGTCTGAGTACGGGCTTTATCAAGTCTGAGAAAAACTACCCTGATGATGTCACAGTGATGTCATCGGAGTTATCTCAGCTTGGGGTTGGAGACTTCAAATGTATAGCAGAAGGCCTGTGTTACAAACTGGAGGTGTGAAGGGTGTTTGGATTTGCTTCTTTAATACCTCTGACTAAGGGACTAATTTGTCTCATTAGTAGCAGGGTTTGTAGAGACTATCCCGGAGGGATAAAGAGACAAGATGCAGCTATGTCAGCTGGTCCAAAAAACAGCGCCAGACCGCAAGAGGACCACGGGGCAAAAAAACCTCTATTGAAACTCCACATTCCAAGCAAACTCTGGGACACAGAGTGTTAAGATCTTGTACCTCTCACTCTCGTCTGCAGCTTTCTCAGCCTCTTCCAGCTTCTGCAGAGCAGTAGCCAGTCTCTCCTGAGCTCGGTCCAACTCCTCCTCCACCAGCTGAATACGCCTGTTTAGAGATGCCACTTCTGCCTCTGCCTGTAGGGACACACACACAATATGCTATACATACAAGATACATACAGTATATACAGTATATACACACACAACAGTCTGTGCTAGCCAGTAGACAGAAGATGAACATGTATCTTTATTTAACTCTCTTTAACTCTTAAAGCTTCTTTTGATGTGGCTAATATGCGACACTAGGCCAGGTCACACGTCTGTACAGATAAAATCAGCAATGTAATACCTAAGACACACAGACTTATTCCAGTGCAACTGAGACCATGCTGATAGCGACTAATAGCTAGTTAATTATGTAAAGTAAAGCTTTGGCTCATTGTAAAACACAAGGAAAGAAACAAAGAAGAAAAAACAACTCTTTGAGCCAAAAGGAAGTCAGTCCAGAAGAGCAAAAGATGTCATGATGATGTCATTTTTGCAGTAACAGAATTTGACATTTTGACAGAGAAAAACTCTTTCTTCTCTCTTCTTTAAACATCTATGGAGGAATCCTGAGTGCCCGTTAGACTGTGAAATGGACATTTCAATAGTCCCGAACAGCACATTTGTCTGATTATAGGAGCACAATCACCCTTAGATAATAAAAGAACTATACATTTCCTAAATCAAGAATGTTTTTACAGCCAATTTACATTGGGATACACACTGAAAGTCTAATTTACTGTCATGCTATGATACCAAAATATAAATATAAATAACTTTAACTCTGGGTTTTGTCCACCTCCTGTGGTCAGCTTGTGGACTGTAGGGGAAAGCAGGGTGATTTGAGCCTGTGGGGAAGTTCAGCCAACCCTTGTTTCTAAGCAACCATAGACAAAATTGGTCATGTGACCACACATTTTTGAAGAGTCATCTATTTTACTCACCCTGTGATGGAGAGAGGCCCAGGGAATGAGTGATAAGCACATTTAAGTACAAAAAACTGGTTTTTTTTTTATGTTTTATGATTCTTGTGTCTGAACAATTAGAGAAAAAGTGCAATGAAATGTTGTACACTGGCATTTGGATTGGCAGGCCTACTTCTCATTGGGGGGCAAGGCCTTGGAAAGTCATATTCTGAACAATATTTTAGATCCATTTTAGGTGTTATTCCCAGGGATGCACCACATGCTGAAATATATTTAAATATTTTAGTAAGAGACATGTACTGTCTTTTCTGTCTATACTGTCTTTTCCTCACTTGCAGGAAGCCTGCTTACACACTAACGCAAATATTTTTAGTACTTTTTGCGTGACAAGATGACGTTTCCCTTTAAGATTTAGTTTCAATTAGTGTTAAGTTACTCGGTATTGATTTTAGGACTGTTCTACATCTAATATATGATTGTTTTTCATCTTTCAGAATGGACCAGCCGTTCATTCATGAGTCCCCCAGGCTTCCGGTCTCCGGTGTTGAGCAGAGTGTCGGTGTGTTACCCTCTCCCTGGCCTGCCTCTCCATGTCCGCCTCCCCCTGCAGCATCTCGGCCCGGTCCTCCGCCTCGTACGCTACTTGCTGCAGACTTTGGATTTTCCTTCTCACCGCGTCTATGGACGTCAAGGACGCCATGCTGTGCACACTCTACTCCGCTGCTCCTAGGTGTCACGGTGTTTCCGTGGCAACGGCGTCAGAGGTCGGAATCGACGCATGATCCTTCCGGTTACAGTTTCAAAATAAAGTGATTAGCCCCTTATATTGACATGAAACCGCATGCAACGCGAAACACGGGACCCGGCAGGTGAGCATGAATTAGTATTAATCCTTAGTCATCTTATTTCTTCATTTATCCTCTGAAATGAACAATTAGTGACCTAAAATTTGGTTACTTAATTTGCCTCTTTGCTCTTTATACAGAAAAAGAACATGATGATAGACCCATGATCTCAGTATCCTGGCTATGACCTTGCCGCGGAGCAGTGGCGGACTCAGGCTGTCTGAGGGGCAGGGGTGAAAAAAACAAAAAGGGCACCAGCTTCACGTGGTGGGACAACAGGGCGCACAAACGGAACGTTGCACATTGACTCGTATTCATTCGAAATTCTTGTCTTTTCAGCGTCAACAAAAGCTAGCATAGACGATCGGTATTCTCGATTGATCGATTCAGAAACAAAACCTCCACGCAGCGTAACTTTGACTATAGAATAACAAAGTTCTATGGGCCCCTTTGGGATTTTGGGCAGTATTCGGTATGCCTGTACAGTATCCCGTCCCTTCATCATGTTTTTTGCACACTGAGCCACCATAGAGGGCATATTACCTTGTTTTATTTACGAAAGGGTCATTCAGTAGGGCACTTTTGCTGCATTTTTTTTAACATGGGGTAACCAGGGAGGTTGAGCTTGGGTCATCATCAGCAGATGGTCAGGTGTCTCAGAGGAAAAGGTTGTTCTTCTCCAAGTCCCACATTAACAGTATATTAATATACTAATACTGATATATTCATATTATTATACAGCACCATTTATTATTAAACAGTATCTCAAATAATAATAGAATGTGTATTTATAGAAGAAAATGCAGGTGACTGCTGCAAAACAAAATTTCGTGCTGTTTCCCAATGGGGCATCTTTCTTCCATGTATTATTTCTTTATTAGGCTAGTATTTGAGGTATTGAAGATTTTATGCACTCTCCCATAGATTGCAATCCAATGCAAATAATCATAAAAAAATAATAAATTGATATTGATGGTAGAGTATAGTTTAGTAGTAGTGCATGCTACAATCACACTAAATATATAGCACTGATATTAACTAGAGAAGAGATTGTGGTGGGGCTGCTGGCTGCTGACAAACTGACATGAGCTGTAGTGAGAAAGGGAGATGACATTTAAGTGTCTTAATAAGGATAAAACAGCTGAGGTCTAGAACCTGTACTACCTTGTACTAATTGTTACAGTTTAGTGTGTGTTGTGTGGCTGTGCATTATTGTTATCACTAATACCTGTGTTGAGCTGCCTTAAAGCCTTCTGTGACATCCAGTATGTGGCAGTGGTTTCACAATAATGTCAGTCAACTGGTTTTTACACATTTTACATATATGCTGAATCTGTGCTGCTCTGGCCTGGAGGTAGAGCGGGTTGTCCACTAATCGGATACATTGGTGTATCGGTGTGTGAATGGGGCGAATGTGACGTGTAGTGTGAAACGCTTTTTGGTCAGAAGACCAGAAGGGCGGAGGTAGAGTTGAAAATAGCATTTACCGGCAATGTAAATGCTGAAATGTTTGTAAGTGACACATGTTTATCTGTAATAAAGCACATTTAGTATCACACTTGGAATATTCAACTCGATGTCCTGAGGCAGAGATGTTCGTGTTGGAGTGAACACCACCGCCAGTAGCAGACTCCTGTAAGCAGTGGAAACATAAACAAAATCATGCATTGCTCTAATTCTTTTCCATCTTTGGTAGCATCACAGTAACACTGCATACAGGAAGGTCCCACGGCTTTCAGGACCAATACAGTGAGTCTTCACTCTTGTGTCGCTCTAATATTTGCACTATAATTGGTCATAAATGCTTTGACTCTTAACTCATGGAAACGTAACTATCCAGAGTGACTAGCCCTGAGCTTTATAGCATATTCTGAGTTTAAGCTTAGAGGCAATATACACCACTAACATTATACTGACCAAGACAGGGTAGAGAGTTACCAAAACACTTACAGTGAATATATGGGCGAGTACTTCCTCCCAGAGTGTGTAGCTACTCCAACAAGTTACATCAATCAAATGGTTAGTTAGGTGTTTCTGGTTAGACGTGGTATTTAGTTAGAAGGTTAAGGATTTGAATTAGAGAAGCTTATTGAGGTCAACCACAGCCTGGGACAAGCTTTGCCTGAGAAGACCAATTTAGGGGAAATCCGGTCCCTGAAACATTAACATACATGCAAGAAATGTGGTTTGCTTTGGAGTGTGACTGCATTTGATCTGGGCTCATAATGGCTCTCAAATCTGAAAGCATTTTCCTTAGTTGAACATTGTTTTTTCAGGGCAGTTCACAATTACAAGTGCTCATGTAGAGATTAGTTACATTTCTTGTAATTGTTTCTTGTTATATATTATTTCTTGTTATATATAAATGATTCTTACAATCACAAACTCATCTGTGGAGGGTCTGAATAGTAGTGTGCTATATACCAAGAGGGACATAGGTACAGAGAGAGAGGCAGACAGACTGACATTAGCACTGTGGCAAAATGTCAAAGGGTAATGAGCTGTGACTGTGTCTGAAGCTAATATGAGGCTTCAGCAGTCCGAGTTATACAAATCAAGTGGAGATCTATAAGTTACAGTCTTTTTAGTATAAAATGTGTGTTTCACTGTTAAGCTGCAATGGATGCAGTGAGAGAAGAGCGTGAACTGTGTCCTGATATTAACTTCTCATATATATTGGAATACATTTTCACACATGGAAGGAGGAGTGTGGATTTTGTCCCCCATCACATTCACTGGACGTGCATCAGAAATGGATCTTTTAATGGCCAGTGTTAATAGAATTTAAGCAAAGCCTGTTTCAGTGTTCATACGGACATCTGTAATAGTAGTAATCTAGTAATAGTAATATTCCACACTGTGTGAAAAGGAGAATACCTATAGAATCTAGCACAGTTTAGTAAACTTAAATTTAATATTGGTGCATGATACAAACTGTTACCAAACAATACTTTTATCTTATTGCACAGTTTGCAGTTGTCCAGAAAGCAACTCAAAGGGGTTCCACGTGGTTCCAAGAAGCTGCGGCATCTGTACAGGCTGGTGCCAAGCAAGCACTCAAGAAACCAAATCCTCTACCCCAGGCTCTCCAGATTGGTTAGAATAGAAGGCATTTGCCTTGAGGTGTGGACAAGCTTTATGATATGTTGGTAAAATTTGATACAGCACATGACAGATTTAATACCGTCTCTGCTGCTGCTGTCAGCAGGGAGCCTGCTACTCAGCAGGAGCTAATGATGACGCTTTGGAGATTCAGCACAACCCGCTTTAAATTGTACTCCTGTAATTCAGCCGGTGGTTGTGATTATTGGTCATCTACGATTTGGTGGGAGTATAAAGTTTGACTGACAGTAACAAACTGGCCTGTGCATATTTATGCTGGTTTATAGGACTAGTACTGCCACTGATGCTCTAAATTTACAACTGTGCAGTAAATCAAGTTAAACACCTGAAGGAGCCAGTTTGAGTAGTGATATAGGAAACATTTCACAATCACATGCAATCAACAACATGACACCTGTGGTACTGTGTGAGGGATCAGATGTGACCAGACAGAGTACAATAGGTTAATGGGGTCTTAATATAGTTCCCTCTCTGCAGTAATGTGACCCCTGGCATCGGCACCCTTCACTTACATCTGTTGCCTTTTTCTCCGCCTGCTCCAGCTTCTCCTGGGCATCCTTCAGTGACTCGGAGTATTTGTCCAGCTCATCCTCCACTCCTTTCAGCTTCTTCTGCAGACCCAGCAGCTCCTCCTCCAGCTAAGCACACCAACACACAGTACACACACACACACACACACACAACCACACATGTCAGACAGTTAGATGCTTGTCTTTGACACGCACAACCAAAAAGGATATTGATTCATTTATTCCAAGAATAACTGCATAATACACACACCTATTCTCTATCCAAACCTCTCTCCTACAAAGTACATATACTCCTAATTTGCTCTGCCAAATACATTTTGGATTAATGAATGATGGAGGAGGACCAGGAGGAGGTCAGGGCGAATGTTTTTAGATACAAAGCTCGGGACTGACAGAGAACAGGGTTAATGTCTTGGCCCCACCTGTTGTTAGGGTTAGCCTGCTAAAGATGGCATTTAAAAAGGTCAAAACATCACCTCTCGTGCTTCAAGTCAGTGTTGTCTTTTTTAGCATTCAGCCATCTTTCACCACCATCATTCCCAACCTTAAAGCAATACACTATCTCCGAAATCAGGCAAGTGAGGTTTGAAAGGCCCATCTCATAGAAGAATTTCTCCTCTCCTGGCTTAGCACCCTTGTGGACTACATCCAATAAATTCAAACGTTTGGTGTCTGAATTGTACATTAGCTTTATTCATTTAGCTGAAGCTTTTATCCAAAGCAACTTACTATTGTTACATATGTCAGAGGTCGCACGCCTCTGGAGCAACAAGGGGTTAAGTGTTCCTCAGGAACACTGTGGTGGATGGGTCATAGTGGGGGATTGAACCTAGGTCTCTCACACCAAAGGCATGTGTCTTATCCATTGCGCCATCACCACCCCATCCCATGTAGCAAACTAACTTGCCTTTTTCCTACCAAATCACACACAATTAATTAACAATTAATTAAACAGGCATATTGCTATGAAATTCAAGGCTCCCCAGAAGACAAGCCCTTACGATTTGGGACACTGAAGATCTAATTGGCAGATTGTCATGAAATCCCCAGAGCATATTAATGCTCCCATGAGAATAACCCTTTATATTTTAATAACGCCATAACAGAAAATTCAGTCTAACAAACTGATTGCTGAGCATTTTCTTGTTCACCCCAAGCTGAGCCCCTTCCATTTAGGCCTTTGTAATCCGGTGACTCATTTCCAAAGATTGTTTCAGCGAGTTGCCATTTGCAACAACAGCTTCAAGGACTATAAAAAGCCAATTGTAAATGACAGTGATGTGGCCTGACCACAATGTCCCCTGGACAAATGTCCTTTCTATATCACTTCTGACAGTCTCTCCCAGCCTGTAGCCATGTAAGGCCTCTCAGTCACAAATAGCCTGGGACAGTCCTGATCCTACAGTCTACAGTACCCCTCAAACCAACAGCCTTGACTGTCTTTCTGAGAGGAGCAACAATTCAAAGAAGGTGGGGGTCTTTAGAGGCAATACCGAAATAGACATGGCAGCATTCAATGCTGGGAGAAGTGCAGAGAGAAGGGATTGTGCAGGCATTGTAACAGCTATGAGCTGCAGTCCTCTGGGAACATGTGCTATATGGACAGTTGCATTGCTGAAAAATTGCTTTCTGTTCATTGATTGCTATTTGATTTTGTCAGTTACTCTGTGGAGTTGCACAGGACAGACTACAAGTCATCTATGGGTTCACAACAGGTATCTGGAGCTGGATTCGGCAGGGGTCGGCTGAGTCTGAGTGTACTGGATGATGATGATGTTGGTTGGTTGGTCACTCTATGGCTGAATTCAAATGTCCACCCTCTGGAATCACTGAGCCCTCCAAGACATGTTCACCATCATCACATCAAGTCTGTGAGGATGCAGACTTTGGACCTCAGTCCATGTTTCCATAGATATGAAAGCAAGTTCTTGACCCCTTAACCCATCAATGTTAAACTAAATGCTTCGTAACACATCAACCTCAAGCATAGGCAGCGCTATTAAGAGGCCAGAATGGTCATGAAAACATTATCCTCGTATGCAATAGCTAACAGAGAGAAAGAGAGAGAGAAGCCTCTAGTTACTGATTATAACGACCAGTGCTGTTTTTCTGCATGACCTCTGTGTGGCGTTTCGGTGCCCAGTTGACAGGTAGAGAGGAACATGCAGCTAGTAGGTTCATTCAAATGCGAAAGAGAGTTAGGTGAATATTGGTGTTGGATGTTGTGCTGAGAATAGACGTAGCAGAACTATGTCCGTTTCTGGAGCAACATCACCCTGCTGCCACTGTGTGTTGACGTCATGCCGCTCTGCAACATCCAGACATTGTGATTTTATGGAGAAGCCGATTCTTCGGTCGCTGATTCATTGCTGTCAGTGTGATTGGCTCTGCTTCATTTATTAAACATTCACCGTCCAATCTATGGTCCAGTCTTCATCCAGCTCTTTCACACAGTCCGAGCCAGAAGACAAACCTAAATGCTATACACCCACATGTCAAAGCATGTAGCAAACATAATTAGTACCCAGTCACTGGGGCCATGCCTTGCCTTCCACTACTATCAGGCCAACAAATAATAAATACATAGAAGAGACAGTGTTGTCCGTCTGTGTAGCAGTGTGGGGAAGGCTTTTTAAATAGTGAATAAGTATAAAACATCTCTGTAATTAACAATATTTTCAGATGGGGGTGTGCTGGGGGGACTTGACCTCATTTGGTCTCAGCCCTGTGCACATTCATGCTCACAAGGGTTTTATGTCCCAATGATCTTTTCTCTGGGACAAACTTGATATTGCATGAAGAATGAGAAGTGCAAAATCCATTCATTCATTCATTCATTGAATTACTTGAGAACGTTCTCTGTACTGAACTTACAAAAACTCCTGAGCAGGTAGGACTTGTTTGAAGGTTTTAGTTGATGAAGGCCACTGATTGATTATCTTACCTAACGTCAGGCTGTGGACGTTTGCCATTCAAAGTCTTGATCTATGTGCTGCAAAAGATGCAATTGATGATGAAAATGAAAGTCAGTGTCTTGGGAATCATGTGAAGATTACAGACACATCCCTTCCTTATCTGAGAGAGCGTTTTCTGTTTATTTGGGCATCTCTTTTACGGCCCTGTGCAAACATCATTCTATCTGTGAAGTATGGCGTACTCCAAGGTTCCATATCAGGCCTCATCTTATTACATAATATATATATAGTAAGGGATTGTTATATTGATAAGGATCCCTTACATTTTGTTCCAGGAGCACTTTGGTAGCCTAGGTGTTAAGGCACCTGTCCACTATCTAATAACAAATAATGTCTCCAAAAAATAATTACAAACTGAATTTGTTCTCAAAGAACTGTGACCAAGATATTTACTGAGTGAGGCATTTTTCCTTCAGGCCTTTAGATGAGCAGCAGAATCTATGGCCATACCAGACCAAGCCAGACTGTAGCAGCAGAACTCACAAGAGAAAAAGATTCTTTCAAAAGTTACAGTGTGTTTCTAAAGACCAGAAAGGACCATGATCATCTAGTGATCTTTCGGAGTTGTTAACCCCCTCTGAGCCTGGGCCTTTACCGCCCCCCCCCCCCCCCCCCTGATGGTGCAAAGACTGATGACATCCATCATGCCTCCAACGAAAACGAGGCTGCTGCTTTCTTTTTAGTGCTATATAACCCTTGATATCCAGACCTGCTTAAGATTCTTCCTCTCTTGTTTTACAGTTCTTGTTAGTTTGAGTTCCCTTTTTATGTTCTTATTGCCTTAGTCGTATTTGAAACATTGTTTTAAAAAGGTCTCCATTAATAAAAAGTTTCTACGCATTTGATTTCACGATATTTACAACCAAAGGAACAAAGAGCAGTGCTAGGAAAATCTCTGTCTTTGGCTCCAGGTGACAAAGGGGTCTTTACCAGTTTGCATTTGTCCTCCGCTCCCTTCTTGTCCCCCTCAGCCTGCTCTGCCCGGTCTATCGCGTTCTCCTTATCCAGCTTCAGCATCTGCATCTTCTTCTTGATGGCCTCCATGGTTCTTCAGGTGGTGTGTTCTCGGCAGAGGGACAAGAAGTGTGTCTGGTTATCCGGACTGAGACAGAGGCGCCGGTCTGTGATGGGGACGGAGGTGGACAGGAGCGCGCGAGCGGATTGTCTGAGCGGCTCGGGGAGAGCTCGAGGATGGAATACCAGCTGCACGAGCCCCAGACTTTTTTCTCGCGCAGGGACGTTGCCCTTATTTAGGCAGCGAGAGTTGTCCAGTCTGCGTGCGTGACGTCCGACTTCAGCATTGTGAATAAATCAGGTCCGTTTGCATCGGAATCAAACCCGAGATTTGTTCCCCCACAGAGAAAAGTATGAGAGAACTGTCAACAAATCAAATTCCAAGTATTAATGTGGCCAGCAAGTATAGCCTACTTCAGGAAAAGTAGCAATACTACTCTGTGAAACACTTCTTCACAAGTAGGCTAAGTGGAGAAGACAGATGCAACAAAAAAGTATATTTCCCCCTTTAAGTAGGCCCTATAAGCCTAGATGCAGCGTGGAAGTAGTAAAATAGTTAGTGAGAGGGAGCAGGATACATGTTGAAATTCTTCTAAATGTAGTTAACAACAGAAAAATAACTGATTTTAAAATAAGACAGAATATCATGCAGTGTTCACTTGAAGAGGGAAACACTGAAAATAAACTGAAACTGGAAAATAACCAAGACAGAAAAGGTGAATTTAAATCAATGGTAATAAGAACACTTTTATTGTGCACAGCAATAACCTGTGTGTAATCCCAAAATGGAAAGGAATCCGCAAATCCTAAAGAAAAGGTGCCTTTCCTTTACTCTTTACCCATCTCCTTCTGTCCATGTTCATGCTTTGACCTGTGTGCTGTCAGTCAGAGCAGGCTGAGTGGGCATGAAACAGGATGGGGCAGGGTTATTAACCATGTTTTAGAATATGAGAACATGCTCTACTACAACACAATCACAAGGTGAGTCCTGATTTATTTAAGAGGGTCGGAGGTTTTAAAATTCTTTTCATCGCGATGTTGTGCTTAGATGGTGCATATTCTTTAATGCTTTTTTTTAATTAATCAAATGAACAAACCTCAGGTCAGGTAGTATTCCAGCAGAGATCTACTGTACATAATGCATGTACAACGGGTGTTAATAGGGGCCCAGCATCTTTACTTTTACTATTCATATTAAATCTCAATGCTTTAGACGCTCCAGATTTTTTAGGAATTAAAAACAACAACAAACAAAAAAACCCATATGATTGTATCAGCAAAATTAGCATAGTTGAATGGATGGATAAAGGAACTTTTGTCCAATGTATTCATAGAAAACACAAAATGTGATCCAGGCTGCATTATAATGTCAAACTTAAGAAATGGATGAAAACAGTTTCACCAAAAACTGGCTTTATTGAATAGAAATCTCTGTTACAGTGCCCATGAGGTGCTGCTGTACATCAGCATTACATTTATAACACGGTTAAGTCAAAATGTGAACCAAAAGCTTTGTACGATTACAGTCATTTGATAGCAGGCATGCTGTTCTCGCTGTGCCGTGTCTGTTCTAAAAGAAGATGTGAAACAAATTGTGGCGTACGGTGGATTTAAATGATGTTCGGATAAATTACTGAATGATGTGATGAATGAAGTGCACTTAGAGGGTAAATGGTTGGTATCAGTTCATGATACTTTACAAATGCATTATGAAGGCACTTGATGTACTGGGAACAAAGAGTGAGCTGACAGTAGGCCCTTGGTAGTGAACAGGAGAGCATGAGGCATTAGGTGAACATCAGACGAGCATCATAGGATTGTACTGTGACAGAAGAACTCTTAAAAAGTATTAAGGACTGCATCAGGCACTAATATTGGCACAGACAACATGTTACTGGAGTGAGTCACTAAACACTGAGCACCTAAATGCAGTCAATATGATATCAACGTCTTCAAGTTAAATATATGGCTTTATAATCTTTACAGAAACAAGTCTTCTAATCTAATCCAGGCCTAAATACTGGAGCTCTTTAAATCAGAATACTGACACAAAGAACGTTTACTAAGATAGCGACTTATTGGAAGATACCTTTTTAATACATTCCATAGCTCAAGCTTTAAAAAAATAATGTTTTTCAACTCTGATTTGTTCGATCGCAAAGTTGTTGTTTTTTTCCAATCTAAACCTAAAAACGACAACATTTTATTTCATTGTCCTTATTTCAGATCTAAACAGCATGACAGTAATCATACTGAACATCATCGCTGCCATGTGACCGCAGACCTCTGCTTCACAATGATCGCTTAAATGTCGAGTCTCGTTGCCTCTAAACGTGTTCGTCTGCATAGAAAATGTGCATAGATTAATGTGCATAACTTGCATAGAAGCATATATTGTGCTTGCCTTAACATCTCTATGATCTAACAGTAATATTCTAACAGTGAAGGCCAGCACAATTTATTGGCAGTACTTTTAAGAAGCCACACAACATGTACCAACGAAGATGTGTGATTCTGATTTCAAAAAAAAAAAAGGGCAAAAAGAGAACCAGATATATTGAAAAGCATACGATCATATATAATCAAAAGCACAGATACCTTAATAAGGACTTAATAAGGCACATATCAAAATTTGGAATCATTGGCGTTATTACGCTTTTGACTGGAAAACAGAAACAGATTGATAATAACCATCCTGATATGTCACTGTGAAACTGGAGTCAATCTGCCTAATGTTACGTTTCTTCTGAAGCATGAAGCCTCCTCTCTGCGTGTAGCTGGGGGGGGAGGTCCTGAGCGTTCCATGGATCCCTGCTGCGTTACTCTCTCACTGTTCCTGGCCGTCCTCCCGCAGCTCTGAGGGAAGGAACTTGTATTGCTGCTGTCTGATCATGGCCAGCTTCTTCCTGGCCTCTTCCAGCTCCCTTTCTTTCCGCAGCATCTCCTCCTGAGCAGCGATGATCTGCAACACAACACGGTCTGATGAAACACCGGCTTCAACCACACACAGCCAATAGAGCACCCATCTAAGATTTTGCTATAGTTTTATTCAAATTAATAACATTTTATTTACAATAGACACTTATTATTATAGGTTTTAAATCCTACTTATTTGACTGTTTTTTTTTCTTTTCTTTTGTATCTTTGGGATCTCACCTGAGCAATACCTCCCACCATCTTACTCTTGACCACCACAGCCTGGTCGTCCTGAGCGTCAAACGCTGCCTTCTGTGCTGCCTTCACCAGGTTATCAGAGGCTCTCTTCACAGCATTTCCAGCCGCCTGCAACAACAAACAATGAGTCGGGATTTAAAAAATGCAAGTTGAGCGTGAAAGTTCACTCTTAACATTGGAAACAATAAACTGACAAAAGAAATCGGGGCCCAAATTCACCTTTTCTAAGCTAAAGCTAAGAAGAATGTTTTTGTCAAACTACAAAGATATGAATAGGAAGATGAGGTGATTGCTAAAAGTGATGATTAACAGATGTCTAATATCTCTAACTATGGACCACAACTTCATAAACAGACTCATGCAGACACATCAACTGTGCTTCTTGTGAACAGCAACTCCTGGAAAGGGAATGATAACTTCCACCAGAGCTCAGACAGAAAACCATAACAGTTTTTTTTTCTCCTGCTTCAGTGCCTGAGAATAGCTGTAAAAGGCAACAAGGAGCAGCCTGCTGAACTGCACTCAAGGCCAAACACTTGTCTAATTGGGCCGCTCGGCTCTAACAAAGAAGAGTTTTCTCCTTTTGCGGCTCCGTGGGCTGAAATCAGACACTGGGCTGGCAGAGGACGGTACAGTCACACAGACAGTGAAGCCTCCTCTCTGCTGGTTTATCTTTGGATGGAATGTTACTGTTGGTCTGGCCTTGACATACAACGTAACACCGTGACGCTGCCTTTCATTTTTTTGTTTTGTGATTTGGTGTGAACAGGCCTTTTATATTCTGTCCTCTTCATATTCTGTATTGAGTGGCCAGAAAATGTCACATTCCAATAAACCAGCACAGCTGACGTCAGCCTCCAGAATGAGCACAGGGTTGAATGAACACCTCTGACACAGAGGCTATGTTCACTCACTCACCATTCCCTGCTGCACATGATGGACATTTAGTAGTTCACTCTATAGGGAGCACACACTGACATTTTGGACACTTTGAAATCATCATTGGGTTTGCTTCCTGATCTACAGCTGCAGTGTCGCATGTTTCTAATTTACCTCGAACTAAAGGCTGAGCGTTGTGGGATTGGTAGCAAAAAGTTGTCTACATGCTGACATGCATTGGGGGACTTTCTGAAGGTATAAATTGTTCACTTGAATACAAAACAGGATACATAGTTTGGACACAGCCAGAGCCAAAAAACAAACTGAACATTTCAATGCTGCACACACACCTGCCAAGTGGGAAAAAACATTCATGTAGCCCCACTGGCAGTAATTCCTAATCAAACATATGAATTTCTGAGGGCTATGGAATATCCCACATAACGGGAAGAACTGTCAGCAAACCAATGGCAAAATGGCCTCGACACACCAGCATTGCTGGTAGTTACATCTAGTTAATATCCAATATTAATAACACAAATACATGTTCAACTATGCCTTTATTTGTGATTTATCTAGTGTGACAAGGTTAGCAATTTGGATTATCTATCTTGAAATCCATGGGACTGACATGTTTGGCTGCTGTATTATACCGCTTCATTGCAGGTGTTGGCAAAAAAGCAGGTAACTCTGTGTTATGTGCTGAATCACCTGCTGCGTTTCAAACAACCACCTTTTCTCGCAAATTCACAAATGCAACTGAGAGACTGTACATCAACACTTAAAGCAAAGAGTGAAGAGAGCAAATGCTGCTGGTGTAATCATAGATTGGAGGCTAATGTTTCCAGTTCTTGGTGCCATGGTTGGACTGGTGGATTGTTTCCAGAGTTCCTGTAGACATAAATGTATGGGAATTACTGTGGTGGCAGCTGCAGGCCCAGAAGAGGAGGAGATAAGCCACTGCTGATTGGATCAGAGAATATGAGATGGCCTGGGCAGGCTGATGTGCTCACAGCTAGCATACACACAGCCTTAAAGGTAGTATTTTGGGGTGGATGGGGTGACAGGAGATACTTGTAGTTTCTGTTATGTCTTGGGACTGACTGCCTCAGTTACACATAAAAGGTC